TTGTCCGTCAATTGAGTAACCCTACATTGTGGTCGAAATTCTAGGGTCCTATTCAAACTCTTGTCATGTGAGCTGTGATGCAAGCTGAAACCAGTCTGTGTCAGCATTCACTTAGCGCTTCGTGATTAGCAACGTTTGGCACCAGCCGTCCTGCTCAGCAGCAGCTTTGGAAGCGAAGGTGTCCGGCAAGGAAGTGCCAAGTGCCACCTCAAACGTCGCAGGACGTAGAAAAGGGGTCCCTGACCTAACTTGACGTTGAGTCCAACTTTGACATGCCTTCGATTTAAACATCGAGGTACGAGTCCATGGCCCGTGGCCCAGGAGTTCAATCCAAATCAAGCCAACAAGTCCAGTCTCAGGCGTTCGCCAGTGTGATGGCGGTCACAAAGTCCGGCATGTCGAGCACGCAACCCACCAGGCCCTCAGCCCATGTATCTCGTCAGCACTTTCAATTCCTGTCGACCCCAAATACATCATCCTAGCGGTGTTTTATTTGGGCCCCCAGCAAAATGAAGGATTCCCTCGAAAATGGGCCATACACACACCGAACTCTCAATCCACCAGGAGCTTGTGGAATCCCGATACTCTGCAAATGAACATGGAAGCCAAAAAGGTTCCAGGATAAGTTGCAGGGGAGTAACGCGGATCTCTGCTCGGCGGTTCCTCCTTTCTCATGGCTCTCGAAGCCCCTCGAAACCTGAGGGCCCGGCGGCTAAATCACTGACAAGAGCAGTGACCATGCCGATAAAGACCAAGGAAATGAAGAAGCAGAGCCATCCGCCGCAGTAATCCTGAGAAATGCCCACAATTCACACAAGTTCAGCACAAACCATGTGGCATGTGGTGATTCAAATCCCCCCTCTAAGTCTTACTCTAAGTCTCGGAGCCTAGTGTGCTGGGTCAAGCAGCTTCTCTGTCCAGAAGACTATCAAACATCAATTCTGTACACTGCATGCAACTACGTGCCGCAAATGTACATCATACATCCCGTGGGTATGTGACCCTGATCTGAGAACAGCATGACTGACATAGTTAAGCAAACAGGAGGAACTTGTACGAGAGGCCAAATGATTTGTGACATCCATCATGGGCGATGGTTGTATGACACACCCCTCCCGGCTTGAATCTCCAAAAGGCCCGTTATAGGCTTTCGGACTTCGACTTGGTCGCGGACCACTGGGGGGATGATGGCGAAGAAAAGCTTCCAGGGCAGCGTCAAGATGTGCAAGCACCACTGGATGCCAGAGGCTGGGCCCGCCTGCGAAAGCGAACCCAAAAAGGCGCACCCATATTTTCTGTTCCTGTAAGGGGCACGTGAAAATGAGTCAGCCTGTGTGGGTGTTCCATGTCCCTTGCAAATTGACCATAGAATGCCGTAGGTTCCTGATGGGACTAAAGTACCATTGGGAATATATGGGCAGGAATCCTCACGCCGGCAACAAGCATGGCAACCCTTCGGGAAGTAAATATGAGTGCACAAGGAACGACACAGAAACCCCGGCAGAATTCATAAGGGGCCCAAGCCTCCTGACAGACCTCTTAGAGTTGGTCATTCAAAAGGCCTTTCTGAGCTGGCAACACGCTTCACCCAAACGGCCGCCACCCGCCATCACAAGTGACTCACCTGCGAACAATTTCGCCATTGGATGGAAACCCCCACAAGAGTCAAAAAAGACCCAATTCTGGGCGGCTCGCCTGTATCAACCAAGGGATCATCACCGTGCCCGGGCAGGAAGACACAACTCGTGGCCGGAGATGGTTGGTCTGTTGATCGAAGGAGTGCTACTTCAGAGAAGTTGTCCACACTGTCAATCCTGAAACACGATGCCAAAAGAACGCTCACTTGAAAATGCGGACCCAAAATCTGAAATGTATACAATGTTTACATCATACAACAGGGGGATTATGCTTTGCACCCCTGAATGCCCGCCACCGCCTCGTCATCCCCTCCGTTCACCAGCAAAGCATTGCTGAACTGCTCCTGAATGGCCGTGCAATCCCAGCGGCTCGAGGCCATCGAAAGGAAGATATTTGTGGGCGGGGGTACCCGCTATCTAAACGAGTTGAACCCTTGTAACCGGATTAAAATGGATTACCCAAACAGCCACTAGCTCTTCTTTTAAAGGAAACCGACTTGAAGCATATGGACCTGGAGAACGGCAGGAACAAGTGGCAGAGTCCCCTTTCGGTCCTTCCAGTTCTCATTGCCTCTCTGCGTCTTCTGCCAATTCACCCCAAGGGCCCGCATGGTGCGGGAGGCGATGTCCTTGGACACCTGGCAGCTAGGAGCAATGGGTTTTGGTTTATGTACCACTTACATAAAGGGAAATTGGAGCTTTTCTGTGGATCATTTGGCAGACGGACATGCCCCCTCAAATCTCTCTCTCAAATCCGAGGCCTGATTTGGCACAATCATCACAGTGACGATGCAGCTCTCCTGGGCTCCAGTGTCAGAAGGCAACCGGGGAAAAGTGACCATAGAAAACTGCCGCCTTGCCAAATTTATTGCTGGACACCACGCTCGGCTTGGCAAACCTTAAAAAACGCCCAGCGGGTAGCGGCTCGAGGAAAGAACTGCTGGAATCTGGGAATCCCTTCACGTGTTCCTGATCATCGCCACTGCAAAAGGAAGGATGTGCCAGGACTCGTTCAAGCCACTGGAGCGATTTGTTAATTGAGCCTTGCCAAGATTGGGGAGTGCAAAGGTGTCCTTTTCGACAAATAGATGGCCCTGGCAAATGGAACAAAGCCCACCTAAACCAGTGGCATCTATGTCTAATCACACTAACCTAACACGGACACCTCTGATCTTGCAATACTTCTCATCGGTAAAAAATGTGCTGTTGGAATCTCCGGATCTTACCTCACATCTGTGCTTTCCAGAAATGCCTCGCCTACACGCTCAAACCAAAGCGCCCCCACTTCTACCACCAACCAACCAAGTGCTTACCAACCAAATTGGTGCCTCCAAGAATTACCAGATCCATCAACTGGAGGAACATCTCAATCTGCAAAACATGCCCTTGATTCAAAGACCCCCCCGAGCAACGCATGTACAATATGTCCGAAAGCGCTGTTCAAAGAAATATATCCCTTGCAAAGCACGGTCTACTCTACTTCGACTACCACATTTCCAAGACTCCCCCTTGAACCCTTTGAAGAATGAGATATACTACTTCGAATACACATTCCTCATCCCAAATCATGTTCCACTACTTTGAATACCAGGTTGCCACAAGTATCAACATGTTTCGGCGGTATCAAAAGGTCTAATACCATGTATTAGAATAATAAACCAGGTTTCTACATGATAATACCATGTTCCGTCCCCCTTGGGTATCAGCACCGACAAAGAGCCATCGGACGCAAAGTACCTCCGGGGCGCTGCTCCGCCGTCCGTGTTGGCATCGAAGGTGGCCCCGTGTGTGGGCTCCGAGAGGATGACGCGAAACTCCTAGCGAAAGGATCCCCGGTTGAGCGCCACCTTTTGGTTGATGCCCCTTTGGATTCAGGGGTGAGGTTGGAACGGCTGTCGTAAAGAAAAAGAATGGATCGGCAAACAAATGAAGTTGGATTGAACTCTTGTGGGATTTGGTTGAACATAGTGGCCCTGGTGACTAAGCCCCTCTTCTGGGCGAGCGCACGTTGCTGTACTGCTCCCCAGCTTCTGACTGTGGCAAACCGCCGAAACACTCAACATAGTCATCCCAGAAGGGACTCGATAGACAACCTGAAGAGTGGTCGATTCCCCCATTCTTTTCAACCATCTTGTTTGCTTCCAGAAACCAGTTGCCGCCCCTGGTTTTCAGGTGGTTTGCTGGAAAGAAGGAACCATGGGTGCAGACTTGGGAAGTCCACTCTAGATTCACACCAATATGGATCGAGCCGAGCAGCTGCGAGGCTTCGCCCAAGTCCGAGCAATAAGTACACATAGGGGTCACCTTTAGGATGGCTTAAGCGAATACGCTGAAAACTAAAAATTCATAAGGGTCCGCCAAAGGAAACACCCACATCGATTACAAGTCCTACACCAGACACCCCTATCCGCGAGCGCACCAGGGCCTCGCGAATGCGGTCCTTTACCAGAGAGTTTACACGCAACTCTGGGCACAACACCGTGTTTAACACCGTGTTGAAGCATGAAGGGCCATAGACAAGCACATTCACGCGACGCACACCCCCTTAGACTCCTCCAGTGTTCCCACTGTAGCGCAAAGGGTTTGCTGAAAGAAAAGCTTTTTTTTCCCGGTTGAAAGCTGAATTGGATTCTCCTTTTCAGAGACGTGTTCTGCACCTCTAAAGGGTCTCGTTACTTTCTACGCTTTGCTGAACTCCAGCGGAGGGAATTCTCCCTCCTAATCAGCCTACTCGTCGATCGCTTGATTGTCTACTGATCAAAGGTAGAAACCTTGGCTAGTGGGGTGTCCATTTGAGGTAAGGCGTTAGTCAAAAGGACAGCTTGCGGGCAAAAGGACAACTAGAAGGATCATGAGGTTCCACGAGGTCAAACGCCTGCTCTAATCGATCATTGCTCAGGTTCTTCACTTCTGGGGGACTCCAACCATTTTGTAAGGTCAGGTTGCTGGCGTCAGAGGTTGTTACTACCCCAAAAAACAACACCCAAGGAAACACTGAATATATGCTCTAAACATAGAGGTTACGCAGCAGTTGGAAACCTATTTTACCCTCGATTGCAGTGGTTTGGCGGCAGCTGCAGTCTAGTGGTCATCCCCTGATGAAACACTACTCGGGTACAAGTGTGCTTGGCAAAAACCTTGGATAAGCCCGTGGTCACGCGACTGGTGTATTGGCCCAGCTGAGATTGTCCAATCACTGATCAAGATCTTAGCTAAAAACGTGCAGGTTTGCGGCTTGTGGTTTCTATCCCGCACTCAATCATTCTCCATATGCAGGTTTCCTTGGTCGATCAGACTTTTGCTTCGTCAACAACAACTCCACTGCTGTGTTCATCATGTGTTTCATGATTCCTGTGTGCGTATATATATATATATAGACATGTATACATAGGTTGACTTGGCAACACCTTGGATAAGCCTTTGGTCTCTCCGTTGCTTGCAGTTTCTCCTGGTTGTCATCATAGGCACAGGTCGCCAAAATCGTCACCACCAGCTCAGCTGTGAGCTGCTGTTGCTCGAAGAAAATCTCGCCCTCCGCCTTGGCGTAGTCTCGGCCTGGGCAGAAGACGGGACTGGAAGAAGGGGTGAGGGGTTCCAAGGCTTGGCCTGCCCTACGCTCTGACCCCTCCGCCCTCTCCGCAAAAGCTGCCAGGAACCCTATGTGCAGCCACAGCCGCTCTAAGGATTTAAGAAGCTATTCAAAACATTCTGAAAAGCCCCCAATATTCAGTCTGTTCCATTTGAGTCGGGCTTGCAGGGATCCAAGGCCGAACTGATTCAGACAAGGTGGATATACTGTTCAGGCGAATGGAAAACCAGGGCATCCTGACAAACATCTCCAAAATTCATAAATTAGTCATGGTGTCTCACGGGCATGATATTCTATGTCGACTTGAAGCTAGCCAAAGTGTTCTAGTGAGAGCTTCCCTAGAAGGTATGGACCCCGGGATGCCCATTCCACTCATTCCTGCCCCTTCTCGCGTGCCGCGCATCAGAACCTCCACAAACAGCCCGGGGTGAAGGAGCCACATGCCCACATGCTCTTTGGCATGAGGTTTCCACAATTGTTTCAAAAAAGACCCTTGACACCAGCACGGCAAGAATATTTGCTGAGCAATGAGAGCCCCCCCCCGGACAGGCCTTCTATGGCACTGCCATCCTGCGCGCAGGTGTGATAAAAATGCGTGCCTGGCCTCGCGTAGGGTGCTTCTGCCATGGGTTGACCGGACCACGCACAGTAGATAGAATGCTTGAAAGGGATTCTGCAAGCAGTCCCCTGTTCCGCCCCCAATAGTTTCTTCGTGGTTGAGGTGCTTGTCGATTAGACATTCGCACCAGCACTAGATGGCCGCATTCACCAAGCCGAGCAAGAACTCACATGCACACTTTCCTTGCGGAAGGCACAAATTAGCCTTTTCTCCGAACATGGTTTCCCTGGGTTGCCAACGCATGAGGTGGCGCCCGCTTGCGCATGGGACTGTGCCTCATTGCAGCCAGCCACATTTGGCCACTCGCGGATCGCCGCACCCCAATCACCCCGTCCTCGGTGGTGAACTTACAGGAACAGGCACCGCAGCCATCCTTGCGCCTGCAACAAGATCGTAGAGGACTTAGGACGGGTTCAGCGCGGATTCGGGGTGGGATTAGGGTAGGTTTAGGGTGGAGGGTAAGTTAGGGTTAGTTTAGGGTCCTTTAGTACTGGTTTGGGGTTGCTAGACGTGGGTAATGTTGGCTTGAGCGGGCCCAGGGTTCGCATAGGGCGACCCACCGACCGACGATCCGACCGACCGACCGATGGCCGACCGACCAACGGACTGACTGACGAACAGCCTGACTGGACTCACCACGCAGAAAAACGCTTCGCCAAAGCTGGGGAAAAACAACCCCGGGGGTGGGAAAGTATGCAAAAACATTGGGGAGTTGATATGGGGAATGGCAAGCAAACCAAGCAAGAACCTATGACAAACTACAGCTGTTTATGTTTACCGCTCTGCGTTCGCAACGATGCGTATTTATATATGTACATGCACAAAACAAAACAACTGCCTGAGGCTCGAGGTGTTGCATAGCAGAGAGCGAAGCAGCCAGTATTATTCCGACTACTCCGACTAAACCGGTGACTAACGTGGAAAGACAAGAATTGATCTGTTAGCAAAAGCGGAGTGTATCTTCTCCAACTGACGGCAATTGACCGTGTTCTTAGCGTGTGCTACATCCTCATCTGCCTGGTGCAGTAAGGCACCAACCCTCGTTCATGGGGGCCCACTTCAATTTTGCGAATCTGAAGTTCAAGTGCTCGACTCCCAAAGCTTGGTGCCAAAAAGGGAATTATCACAAAGTACGTGAGCAAAGGTCAAAAACTTGTTCCCCCAAGATGACCTGGGAAACTTAGTGAGCTCCCCGGGTGCGGAGAATTTCTCATGAGGGCCCAAAAAAGCCAATGTCCCTTCCGCCCACGGCCTCACGGTGATCGGCACCTGCTTCTCCCCGGAGGCCTGCATGGCGCTTGCTTGCTCCGAGGCAAACACGCGTCTCAGTTGGCTGTGGGTCAAAAATGGGTATCCATTTTGGAACCCTAGTAAATGGAACTAAGGACTAAAGCCTGCGGTCCCCTGGTGTTTTATTTTTGGACCCATAGCCAGTTGAGGGTACCCCTTGGTTTGGAGTTGGCTGACCAGTTGGAAAGCGAGCATTATCATGCAGCCGTGTGACAGCAAGGCTGTGAAGAGTGGCCAGACTTGCTTGTACGCTCGTGGTTGTGAGAGACAAGCTTTTCTGTGATCATGTGCCAGCGAAAGGAGGCGTGGACTGCCGGAGGAGGCAGCCAGACATCTGGACATTCCGTTCTTTGCAGGCACAAGGACTCGCTGTGCACCATTTTTTCTGGTTCACCTTGGCATGTCACTGCATGCACCCTCCTCAGCAGTGAACATTCATGCTCGCCCCAACCAAAAGCCAAGCCGCACGTCTCAGACCGCTGCGCCTTTTCACATCCGCTCCCCAAACCCCGCCTCGGGGACATTGATGCAGTCCTCGTCGGTGTAGATAACGCTGGGAATATCTGTGTCCACGATAATCACCCTGAAACCAAACAAAACGCGACTGAAAGGACAAGCTTCAGACAAACATGTATTTTTGTGCGTGTTTCATTTAGGTGTGTGTGTGTGTGTCTTGTGTGTGTGGGTGTGTATTCCGTGTGCAATGTACATAATATGTATGTCATATGTGTGCGTGTGTGATGTTATTCGATGTGTGTGTGTGTGAGAGCTGGTGAGAAATGTATACTGTCATTTGCGTGCGAGAGAGATGTGCGCGCGTGCCTATGTGTTTGCGTGAAAGAGGGAGATGTATGGAGATGTGCACGCGTGCGTGTGTGTGTGTGTCATGTGTGATGCGTGGTTGTCTGTGTGTGTCTGTGTGTGTGTCTCTATGTGTGTGTGTGTGTCTGTGTGTGTCTGTGTGTGTGTGTGTGTGTGTGTGTGTGTGTGTGTGTGTGTGTGTGTGTGTGTGTGTGTGTGTGTGTGTGTGTGTGTGTGTGTGTCTGTGTAGTGTGCGTGTGTGTGCGTGTGCGTGTGCGTGTGCGTGTGCGTGTGCGTGTGCGTGTGCGTGTGCGTGTGCGTGTGCGTGTGCGTGTGCGTGTGCGTGTGCGTGTGCGTGTGCGTGTGCGTGTGCGTGTGCGTGTGCGTGTGCGTGTGCGTGTGCGTGTGCGTGTGCGTGTGCGTGTGCGTGTGCCTGTGCCTGTGCCTGTGCGTGTGTGTGTGTGTGTGTGTGTGTGTGTGTGTGTGTGTGTGTGTGTGTGTGTGTGTGTGTGTGTGTGTGTGTGTGTGTGTGTGTGTGTGTGTGTGTGTGTGTCTGTGTCTGTGTCTGTGTCTGTGTGTGTGTGTGTGTGTGTGTCTGTGTGTGTGTGTGTGTGTCTGCGTGTGCGCGTGCAAGTGAAGTTTGTAATTGTGTGTGATACGTGTCAAGGGTCTCTGCGCAAATCTGACACACTGTGTCTGTGCTTGTGTGGGTGGGGAGGGGGTATCTCCGCTCAACATGATCAACACAAATCTGTAGGGACACATATTGTGTGAATGCATGCTGCATGCATGCATATGCACAAACAAACGAACCAACGGACAGACTAACAAACGGACGATAAATGCATAAATGCATGAATTGCCGAATTAATTAATTCATATTAATGGTATGTATGTACCAACTGCATGCATATGTGTACATGCACATATTATGACATGTGTGATTCACTTCATACATATGCATATTCCGCGTTGGTAAAGTGCTTGTCCTCAAATGACAACACATTCCAAATGGTAGCCCATGTGGCGATGACCCAATTCTTGATTAGTTCCCCAAAATAAACTCCTGCGATCTGAATTAAGGAAGTGTTTGCTGCCCGGCATCCCTACAAAAAGTGGGCCTAAACAGGTTGCTCATGAAAATGCCCGTTCATCTCCATCGACTGGGTCTGAACAAACAGCTACAAAGGCCTGGATAAACCTAGCAGTAGCGCTGTATCCATTGGGCGCAATGCAAACTTGTGGGCTCTGCAGCACCCAGTCAAGCGAAAAAGCCGACTCGACACCGGAAGGAACGTCAATGTTCACCAGCTGACGGGCCGAGGAAAGTTGAAAGGCTAAGCTCCTGTTCAACAAGCCGATTCTTGAAATAAGAGCTTATTAGTGTGTTAACCGTTGAAAGGAACTTAGAAGAAAAAAAAGAAGAGGAAAAACAGCCAACAACGCGAACTGCATTGGGCAAATCAGGCTAAACTCTCTCTCTCTCTCTCTCTCCTGCTCTATCTCTGGTCTGCAAGTTCCTCCCAGAAGGTTCTTGACAAGGTGTGGCAATATTTCACCAATGCAAAACAAGACATGGAAGCCCAGCCGAAAAAGGTCGCGATTTCACTACCCTCCCACCAATAATCGTGAAAGAGAAGACTACTGTCCTCTTGGCAAGGGAGTCTGTGCACTTCCATGTTGGATGGCAAACCAAGTCTTTTGGACCATGGCAACCCCTCAAAAGCCCACCACACAAAGCTCTTCCCAACGCTTTCCGCCTCGCAGTGGCGATGGGCCCCAATGACGCAAAGCCCCCATCCTGCGAGCAATGCTGGGATGGGATTGTTCATTGTCCTGGGAGCATGTGCTTCGGAGTCCTTTCTATCTCCGTTTCACATCCCAAGCAAAGTATCAGCAACTAATATCTCCTTTTTTCACCCTACAACTTTCAGCAGACATTTTTAGTGCCAATGGGTGCTATCCGAAAGTAGCTGGGGTTCCACGTGCGGGAAGTCCACCACTGGGTGTAGGGAGAATCAGCAAACGGACAGTTGATCTCTCAGCCCATTCGACCGAATCAAGAATAAATTTGGTCGGAGAAGGGAAATCGAAGGAAACCAAAGGATACTAAAGGAAATCAAGCCTAACTTTGAACCTGACCAATTCTGTACCTTTGTGGCTTTTCATCGTCTTGTAGAGGCTCAAAGCCGCTTGACGCATACCACTGTTCTACCCTCGGATCGCTGATCATCTTAGGGCTCGAGGTTCAGGACCGGAATGGTCCTTGCAGCGCGGGTTGGACAGGTCCACATAGAAGTCCTCGTTATCCTGCCATCTGCACGAATCCGCCCGAGTAGAAGTTAGTTTCTCTGCCGCACCCCGACACCCAACATTCTTTTAGCGGTGCTTGGCATGAAAACAGCACCAACCCCTCCGAGTGGTCAGTTGTCTAATTGAGTCCAAGGTGATGATGGTGCTGGAAGGGAGGGAAGTCACTGAAACCCAGTGCAACTCTGTGAACAACACAAAGCGACGGGAAACTAAACGGAGACTGTGTTTTCAGGGCTTCCACGTTTGGACAGGAACCCAAGTCTTGCGTCTCTGTTCATTTTGTAAAAGATCGCCCCAAGGTGGACAGGACAGCTTCATCCACCCTAGGGGAATCAAATCGGCCACCAAACGAACGGTGAGCAGGGCTCAATATTCATTGCGGTTTCCAGTGCCATGGGAATTTGGCCCGTGAATGTGAATAAACCTCGATTGCGCGTGGGACAGGCCTCGGGCATCTCATCCTGCATGATCTTCACCTCGATGATTTTCTCCACCTGAAGCAATCTCAAACTTTCTGAGTCCAGTTACAGTTGCCCAGTGTGCCTAGTACAACCTGTTGGGACCCGTCCAAATGGAACCGAATCATCGAAGACCACTGTGGCGTCCAGCGCACCGAACCAAACGGCCTCGTCCGGAAGGAACACGAGAGTGCCCTGCACAGCCTCCGGCGCCAGGGTTCCGCTTGGTTGCCCCCTTTGGGGCATGAACCCGGACCTTTGCTGGAATTAACCCCTGCTGGGGAAACAATCAAGTGAAACGCTGGGTCAAAATGGCTTGCTGGAAAACACCCGGTATTTGTGGAATTGACAAAACCACAAGCAGCGCCCTTTGCATTGTGGAATCTTCAAATTTTGACAGGGACACAAGCAGTATTGCTCAGCTTCGAGTCTTCGTCATTAGAATGCCCACTTCGGACGAAATTGTGCCTGTCACGCGCCCAATGGCTGTACGATTAGCTCTAACTTTGCTGACCACACAAGTTCTTATGGACTTGTTAAAGGGCTTATTCCGCGGTACTCAAGGATCCCATGGTCAACTTCTCCTAGCTTCTGCATCCACCCAGGATCACCTGCTGCTTCAAGAGGCCATTCCCCAAACCCGGAACTGTTAGCAGTTGTTTGCGGTCTTCTGTGGTAACTTCTCTGTTGTATTTGTTCACATTGAGTAAACATGCTTCCTCCAAAAGCGGTCGGAATATGCAAACGGGATAATTTCTAAGTTCTCAAGTGCTTCTTTGAAAAACTAGTGAGTCCCCATTGCCCCTTGCAACTTGCCGAACCTCATACGCTTGGAGATGAAATTCAGCTAGGGGGTTTCACCATCCAAACGGGGATTCATGGCCACCTTTTTGGGAGGTTTTTCCCAATGCAGATTCATAGCCATAATGTCATTGGCCACTGTATAGAAAAATAAGAAAAACAACTTGTTCCCCCCGAGAGGGCAGCATGGGAAACTCAGTGAGTCCCAGTGTCTGTGGGAAATTCAGAGCTTGTTCCCCCATGTACCTCCCAAATGGACAATAAACTGAACAAGTTAGCCGAACCTGCCGTGCCGCTACAAGTGTTTAAGGCGCTATATGTCCCTCAAATCGGTGGAATGGACCCATTCCTCCTGCGGTCCTCGTAGTCGTCCTTCGCCTTGGCGAGGCCCTCGCGGCACTCGTAGTCCACCATGACGGTCAAGGACAGGTTGCCCGTGCGGCATATCGGTAGGCGAATGAGTCCCACCTTCCACTCAGGAAAACCACAATGGTTCTCGACAAGTGACACGGATATTCTTCATTAAGGGGTGATCCAACTCAAAATTCGCAACCAAATTGCCCCAAGGCCCCTCGGTCGGGCCCTACCCGCGTCAACTTGTCGGGCAGTTTGTTTCCCACCAAAAATAACATTTAAGTGGTCGTCCCCAAAGATTTCCAACAACCAAACACCCAAAATTTCAGCTTCCAAGGGCAAGTCGTTCCCACAAGCACTCCAGAGCCGAGGTGCGCTCTCCAGCACCACGAAGTTCTCGCTGCCGAACAAGATCAACGACTGGGGCGGCGGAGGCGCCACTGGACCTGCCGTCACCCCAAAAACTCCCAAAGTGCTGCCAACTCGCCAGGCCTGGCGGAGCTGGGAGCTGAACTCCCTCCGAGGGGACCACCGCAGAGAAGTTATTCCTGACTGACCAACTCACTGGCAAGTTGGCAAGGCCCACCTTTCGCGTTGACACAGGCGTCTCGCGTCAACTATGGTGTCGTTGGCCCCGTAGTTTTAAGGGCGACAGCTTAACCTGCCCGGCTCACGCGAAGCATGGGTCAACCATTTCAAGGAACGAAAGCAGGCCATAATATTTTGCAGGCCCCGCTTCCTGAAACATGCTCAACATGCTCAACATGCCCAACATGCTATACACTTCTTGAGGTTCGTTGAACTGCCCTGAGACAGAGGATGCCAACAGAAACATAATGGACGGCCAACACTACATAAGGTTTACCTTGGGACCATTCCAAACAAATCTACCCCGTACTATGGGGAGGATCCAACAAATCAAATGAAAGCCTTGACGGCATAAGCGCAACAGAACTCGGCATGAAGTCCTGTGACCCGCAGCTGGAACTTCATGCTTTCCATGGAGCAGTCGGCCGAGGGCCCTCTTGCGGTAAGCTGCCTTGCGAGGCAGCTTGAAGCGCCAAGCGACGCTCAAATACGGAATTTGACCTTCACATGAGCGAGCTCCCAGGAAGAAAATCAACTGGCATGGCAAACAAGGGTTTTGGAGGATAGCACGGTTTGACATTGAAAGGCTAGCCCCATCTCCCTCCTGTGCAGCTTTACAGCCTCTTGTTTCTCATGCTCTACTGCTGCTGGTATGTTTCAAGCCTTTAAATGGCTGAAGCGCCGCCCTCCCGCTCCACGAGATATGTCGGCATCTGAACGTCACACGTGGCTATATCCCCAAATATGTCAATGCTATGTACAGCCACACCTGCCACGAAACAATGGCATTAACATTGTTCCAACATGTGTCCACACATATATATTAGGTATATCATATGGTACATGTGCCCACATGATGGTTTCACCTTCACGGTGCGTGGGGCTCAACTCGCCTGTGACCCTGCCTTAGACATCCTCTGAGAGGAGGTAAGATACTGGTTGAGCTCTTCGTCGGAGATCTGCCAGCCATTATCCTGCAGTTCAGAGATTTCGAGACTGGTTGATTTGCATGGCTTCCCTTACATCCTCCAAAAAATCCTTTAGGTTGCCCTTACACCCTCATTTCCCATCGTTCCGCCAAAATGTAATGTTGGTTTTTCATGGTTGCCCCAGCACCGCACCCATGGTTTCCCTTGCACCCTCCACAAATGGTTACCTTACCCTCCGCCGAATTTGATTTGGCTGTGGCTCAACAAACCGGTACCAAAATGGAACCCTGGTAAGCGGAAACATGGACAAAACCTGCGTAACCTCCCTTTTGATTTTAAGCCACACCAGGCCACGCCCATTTAGGTTTCTCACGGTTCCCTTACAACCTAATGTTTCGATTAAACGTGCTACTCTTTCCCTTACTCCCTCCACTGGCCTTCCACACTGTCCTTTCAATGTCCCAATATTTCCCTTGGAGAAATCCGACCCACGAAAGTCCCAGCATGTTGCTTGCAAATAAATTGATTTCAGTGGGAAGTGATATATGCCAGGCTTGTTCACCCTTCAGGTCTGGACTTGCAAAAAAACAAAGCTGCGCAGCTGCGCAGCCCACAAAGAAAAAAGCAACCAAAAAAAAAAGGAGCATCGCGTCCTTGCCCAGTCTGGCGACGTCTTCATCGGTGAGTACAAACTTCGCCTGCAAAAATGAGAAAACCACTCCCGACCTACAGGGTTCTGGCTTGCTAGAACCTGCTGATCTCATGGAGCTCAGTGTACCCCAACCAATACCAGTACTGCTTTTAGCCGCCAGCTGTCCAGACCTTAGGTGTTTCGATCCCAGCCCTGTTTATGGGTTCAATGCCAGCAAAGAAATCCAGACAATGGTCAGTTCATTGTCACACTAGCTTTAAACTTGCAAACCGTTGGTGGACGGCGTTTAGGACTTATGTGCAGAACCATAATTCAGGGTGTTCCAAGCTTGAAACATATCACCGTTTGCCGTTTGGGTCCGGTTGGGTGCACAGCTTGGGAAGGCATCTCATAGGACTGAGGGGAGCTCTATGGCCTAGCATTCTTTGGGCCATTCAACACGTGGAGCCTGAAGCATATGAATAGGATTGCCTATTGATTGAAAAACCTCGCCGCGGGGCGTGGAGGTTGGGGTTGTAACCAATGCTGTTTGAATCACCTTGGTTGGCTTTGAGTCCGGTTGTTAAAACATCTGCCCAACCGTGCCCAACCCTGCCCGGTTTTTCCCACTGCCGTCAATCCCGGCTTGATCTGGGTTGCAAGCAGCCGTGTCATGACAGCAATCTGGTATGAAAGCGATGTGCCAAAAACCACAGGGAATAGGGGGCGAAAGATTCCGGGGCGCCACAATTGGGAATGCCCAATGCTCCCCAAAGGCTGTCCAAGCCTTGTGCTGAGGGCTAACCTCGCTCCTGATGAAGGCAAGGTAACCTCGGGGCCAGCAGAGACCCCATGCGGAAAAAGCACATGGTCGTGATTTGAGCTTGCTATGCCGGAGTTAGCTGTTCAACCAACCAAAGTTGGGAAAGTGTTTCAAGAGTTTCTTGGCTTTAGGACAAGCAAAAGGGGCATGTGATCGTGCGGTCTGAAAAATGCTCAATGCTATTCAATGCTCCTTGCCCTATTGAACTTGCCTTTGGGGCACTAAGGAAGCATGAGTGGTCCATGCTCTGGATATGCTCTGGATAACTGTGTGCTTGCGTCATGCGGGGAAACATATCATATCCGGATCTGGGACCCTGTAGATGTTCGCCATGTCCAGCAACAAGGGACCTTGGTTCCAGGTCTCCGCCATTGAGGAGCAGACCCTTGTCGGCCGCGAAGGCCAGACCCACTAGGAGCGGGAAGAAAAAGAAGGTCAGAATGCCTGGAACAACAACACTCTAGGGGTACCTTCCATTTCCGTTCTTCCCAGGGATCCGAATCTTTTCAGGAAACCATCCAAAACCCAGGGGAAACAGCCGGTTTTTGAGAAAAGAACAATGGTTGAAAAGACTGGGGAATCACCCCCTAGAAACACGTCTTAAGCCCTCACAAGGGTCTAGTGTTGACGTCGTCCAAGCTCGACCCTTGTGAGAGCTTATAGACTCATGTAAAAGTGTTGCCCTGTGAATCGTAAGTCCTCCTGACTCTTTGTGCCATTCCAAATTGCCCCGAGTTCATGTCAAAAACGTTGGTGTCCCTGGTGGTCGTCCAAAGACCACCAAAAGAACATCACCCACTTGGCGTTTGGTTTCGGAGCCTCAAACCTACGGAGGATGCACCGAAACTGGCGTTCCATGCGAAGGACTCGACAACCGCAGGCCTTCGAAAATCTCCACAATATCCTGGGCCGAAGGACAGGCACCCGACGAAAGTTCAAGCATCTCTAAGCGGAAAGGATGAGGCAGTGAACACCTTGCGCCTTCCCAGTGCAACTGTCAAATGCGCAGGGGTATGGCATGAAATCCTTCACAGCAATGGCCCGTCCTCGGAAATCACAGACACCACCACGTACAACCTGCAGGCTCGGGAATTCCTGCTTATGGATAGGCAGTGCCATCCCCAACAGTCAAGGATCCCCACGGAAACGGGGCTCGAGCAATTGGAAAGCATATCAATCGGTCCTGGACCTTCAAGGGATAACCGTGGCAAACGTGTGTCAATGGCGAGAACTACTAGGAGCTTCATGACAAAAGCATCTCCAACATGCCCGGGGCGCCAAAGATAGGCCAGCAAAGAAATCACCGCCGTCACAATGTACACATTCACGTCTTTGATCTTTCGGATCTGGCGCGGCTGGAGTGAAAATCGGTGTCCCTCGGTTGTTGGAGAATTGAGTGAGTCCCCTATGTCCTTCCCAAATGGACCACGCACTGCGAAATGGACTTTATGGCTTGTGTCAACCTTGGTGGGGCGCAAGGATATGTACTACGTGAGACAAAGGTCACCGAGATGTGCTCAGCCCATTGCCATGCACTCGCAGCACCAGCTCTGAATAGTTGAAATTGCGTCGACGTGTTTGGGCATCGGCTCACACATGCTATCCTGGGCAGTACTGTTCAAGCATGTTCACTACGTGTTGCAGGCGCTGCCACTCTGATTGCGTGCCATCCCCTCTCAAAACAGAAAAATGAACCGTCTGAAGCATAGTCAGGCATCCCAAGCTTGCAAGATGATGCAACTTGATTCGCTTGACAACCTACTATCTGCGCCCTAGGGGGGGCAGAACCAACGGAGTCGCCGCAGGTGGCGTCGGTAGGGCGCCGGTTCTTAGAAGCGGGGTTGCGTATTCGAGGGTTCTTAGTGGCAACCCCCCTTTTGCTATCCCTTGGAAATGCTTCTGCAAAGGCCAAGACTGCTCTAAGAAGGTCCCCGAGCCTTCTGAGATTCCTCGCAAAATACTCTCAGCGGGGGCGAGCTTCTGCGAAGTGGATTCGCGCCTTTTTAGAGCCTCTCAGAACAGTTTTCCGTGGACTCCTCCAGTGCGCTGACTCTGTTGGTGTTGCCCTGCCGGCCTCATTGTCCGGGATCGCCATCACACAAACAGCCGAGATGCAGAAGAGGTTAAAGGCGGCACTACCTGCAAACTCTCCAGAAGGCGCAGGGTCTCTCAATCTGTAAACAAGGAATCCCCCACCCAGCAAACGACATTCATCCTAAACTCATTCTACCCTCCCGGTGGCTCATCACAATATGCCCACATGACGCAGGCGCGAATGGATCCAGCCAACCAAAAGTGGCGCTTCCTCGGCCCTTAACGGCAAATCCCAAGTTGTGACTCCTCCTCAGGGGGGCGTGCCAGAAAGGAGCCTTCACTTCCGGGAAATGCCAAATGGAGAAATCCTAGGATTTCCCCGTGCAAATCTTCGCCGGCAGGCTTTGCCTGTGCCCCACCTCCACAAAAACATGGATAACCCAAAAGAGGTCCTTGATGGCGATAAAAGACTCGCCATGATTGCTGTTGAACAACTTTTGTATAATCAAGGGGTTGAGGTGTTGCATTTTCACGCACCTTCAGCACAATCGTTTTCCGCAAAAACGCTCTGCAGAACATCTAAAGGGTTCGCCATCAGGTCAACTCCTCAGCATGCCTTCAATCAACAATATATGTGTTGATCATGCTCCGTATCTGGCGAAACTCGAACATGTAAAACGCAAAATCCTCTAACTTCTGTTCTGTGGTTCGTCTTGAAAAGGCTTCAGCGCGCAAGCCCATTTTGCTGAACCCTGAACGTCCAAACCCGTCGCCTACGATGGTGGAGGGCCCCAAGTCTCCGCTGAAGAATCCGTTGCCCAGAAGCTCGATGACCTTAGTCTCTCTCATGCAGGTCTGGTCTCAGGGCGAACCACCCGTTTGAACGGAGCTTTCGGGGCTACCAAAGGAAAGCAAACATGTGCATGGCGCTGAATTTGGCAAAATTTAGTTTCGGCTTGGGCCAGGTCTCAGGTCACAAACAGAGACGCCTCACAGCTTCCCCCATCGAGCTCGCGTACGAGCAGAAAGCGCTCAATCGACTCATCCTTGCAGGATTGAGGCAGTCTGCTCCAAAAAGTTCAGGGCTACAACTCCCCATGTGTTCCCTTTTAAGGGAAGCCAATGTTCAAACCACCATCGCTACAACCAAAGTCCAAAGTTTGAACCAGGGCCGCCATGCTGCAACCAACTGGGGTCCAAGCACTGAGAAGGATCTCGGGGGCGCTGGAGCCGAGCGCCATGAGCGTGAGATTGGCCACCGTGTCGTTCCAAACCTACGAGGGCGGTGGTTTTCCTGTGGTTTCCCTCTTCAGCAAACCCCAAAAAGAGAAAAAGAGTGGCCTCAAGAAAGATGCACCCAGTTGGCGGTTCATCCCAGTACTTATATAGGGTTTCATGCATCACAATACCGCAGGTGGTGTACACCGAATGGATCCATACAACCATACTCCATTAGTTAGATCATACCCAACAATATCAAGGTGAATAGTGTCCAAGTACATTGGGGTAAACTCTCAGGGTTGTTCTCAAAGGTTAAGCCAATAGCCCTGGTTTTCCCTTGTGAGTGCCTCTTGTGAAGCAAAACATGATTACGTGAAGCAACTAGTACGTACCCCTTATGAACTTGGGACTGCGGCCCGTGCACGCAAGCGCATCATTGCATTTGTACACATGTTTTAACACATATCGCAACTAACATGCGTAATGTGAGTTGTGTTTCGTTGGTTCTGGAACCGCGCGCTCCTTTCCCTTGCGCACGGCAAACACTCCCTCCAAAAAATGGGCGCGTTTTAGGACTTGGGACATTTACTTCAAAACCGGCAGGACAAAAGACGCAAGCAGGTCGGCCTTGACGGTGAAATACCGCTCGCTGGTGGAATTCCAAACTCTCTTCTTCTTGGAGGTGATTTCCTCAATGGCACCTGCATGAAATCGCCGCCCGCAGCGAACGTGTTCCGACTTTCTTTGAGAGAGCCACGGTCAAAGTTACGCACGTTCCCAAAGCCCCCCCCTCCCCCGGGGGTTTTTGTGGGAAGTTCACTGCGCTCCCCCATGTCCCCCCACATGGAGGGGACTATCCAAGGTAGACACCCAGCATCCGACAAAGTTGATAGTCTACCGAAAACTCTAAGTCAAGCCGGGTATATATTCCCAGTGACTCGTATTTGTCCAACCTGAAAGCATCACCAACCACGAACAGGAAAGTCGCCTGAGTTGAGTTCGCAAACTGAAAGAGGCATCTACAGCCACGGGCAAGGAGCTGTTGACTCCCCTCCCCTCCCCAAAGGTGGGATTGAACAAACCCATGGCAAAATATTGTTGCCTTGTGTCTGTTTGCACTTTGTGTTTTCCTTCTTTTCGATTTGCAAGTCGTCTCCTTAGCGTCTTCAACACGCACTCGTTGCTCTTACAAAAACATGTTAAAACTTGCCTATTCTGCAAAGCACTTTGTGGGCAAAGGCTTGTAGCAGCTTGGATTCTGGACAGGGTTTGCATTTCGACTCCGAGTGAACAAAGGCATTGCCTCTGATTGTTTTGGGTCTCTACAGTTTCAAGGGGCTCCTTCATTCCCCCCCCCAACCACCCCCCCCCCGGCCACCCCAGGAGTCAAGGCAAAAAGCCTATGGCTTGGGACTGAGGCGCTCATAAAGATGTCAGACACCGTGGCCACGGCCAAGAAGAGCCACAAGAGGCCCAGGAGGTAAAGAACGGCACGCAGGCCTTTCCGCCATTCCTGGCTCACTGGTGACTGGTGCCGCCGGGCGAAAGAAAAAAACGCGTCCGTCGCAGCCCGGGGGGGGTGGGGGGGATAACTACCCCCCTATGTTGTTGCTTTTTTGGATGAAGGTTCGTCTCACAACAGGGAAACCCCAAACTTGGTGGTTGTCCTCTAGTTCCTCCTTTGAAGCAACTCCACAAGGGATACTATGGGTAACTACCCACAAAAAAGACAGCCCGATGGGTTCCGAAGCAAATGCTCACATGGCACAGTGCCAAACAATAGATGCGCCATGGATTTCAAAATACGGCGGTTGCTATCCAAAACATGGACAGCTAGTGAGTTTGTTAGGACCAAATGGACCACGTTTGACCGAACCTCCGATAAGACGACAGATTCTACAGGCTAAGGGCACAAGAAATGATCAATCCATCTGAAGGCTTGGACTTCAAGTGGCCCAAAGTAAATGTACGGTAAATGTACTGGCAGCTCCAACCATGCTCATGAATACGCCTGACAAAGGTCTCAAGACCTCTTCGAACAAATGGAACTGTTACAGGAGGGCAAACACAGCATCCAGCTCAGAAACTAGATGGCAGAAACTTTCAGTCACGAACGTCAAACACAGGACCATGTCTCGAACACTCACCCTGTTTGTACAATCCCAACAGCCACGGCCACAGACTCGCGGGTGAAATCCCATTCGGCGCCTGCTCTGCCTCGCCCAAGAGTGGTAGAATGATACCTCCTCCGCCAGGTTCACAAATCTTGACCTGCGTTTCGAGCGTAGAACTGCAAGAACCATAGGAATCGTTGGCTGAAAGGAGTAGTTCAACTCACGAAAGGTGATGCGAGGAGCAAAAGGGCGCAAATGATTAGAATAGGTTTGTGGGGTATCTTCAAGCGCAATTCAAGTCATGGTCAAAGGTGGAAAACGCTAGTAATTTCCTTGGCAAAAGCGTGATGGCATGCAGACCAAGCACCAAAATTAGGATTTGAGCACAGCAGCTTTGGCACAAACCTGAGTCCTCTCCGACATGGAAGCACCCTTGGGCGTGCTTCGGCTAAGGACAAATCCAAACACGGATTTTCCGCCACCCTTCAAGCCGCAAAAGCAAATGCCAAGCAGCCAAAGGATAGGTCAGCGAGCTGCTCAGCTAAGCCATTGAATGGTCGACGGCAGGTCTCACGCTTCCTTGTACCAAGAAAGCACATAATCCTCCTCAAATCCCCGTGAACAGGAAGGTGGGCCCCCCAGTTCCATTTCTGTCTTACGGGGTAAAAGGGGCCATCAACAGAATTGCAAAGGTCACCCCCCCGCCCGTCCCGCTCCATTCCTCTGGCCTGGCTAGTGCATCCTGACATCAAAGCCGGACGTCCCGCTCACCGCTCCGTGCCAACCTTTCAGGGGACACAGAAAACGCTCGGTGCACAGTGCGTGCCTGCACCGAAAATCGGAACCCGTTCTCGGAGGTGTTCAACGGAGACACAACTGGCGCTTGCATGGGAGCCGAGGCGGGAAAAAAGTCAACACATGGTAGCTGAGGCTTCGAGCCCCAACTCGCGCCTGAATCGTCTCGCCTAAAGCGTGGCGATCCGAATTCTCGGAGGAATGCATTTTCCCCGCTTGAGCCAGAAGCTGTAACCCATGCTTGCCAAAGCAGGACTCAGAAACTGGCATGCGAATCCGTGGCATCTGTCGAGGCCGCCTGGCATCAGCCATTCGCTTGATAGGGTGATTCTATCCCAATATCCGCAGGTGAGGTCGCTTTGATGCGCCGTCCTTTTGCAAGCGCGTGCGCGCGATGTGCTCGCTCTGAAAATCAGAACTGTTGCCTGCTGCCCAGCAACGGGTTTCATGACTCAAGTGATGCCGTTCCAAGTTCCGCGGAACCACCGGGTTCATGCCCGCCAGGCAGGGCCTATGTATGCCTACGGTTGGGAAAACTGGTTTGCTGGCTCCAAAGGCAGCGATCGAGCAGGGCCAATCAAAGGCCCGCATCGACAAGAGTCCACGGTTCAGCCACGCGGGGGCCGCGAAAGAGCGTCGGCTTTGCCCGTGCATGCACTCTTCATGCATGCTCCGGGCACAAGCTTCCGGTCCCTTGAGGGACAACCACTTCCACAGCCCGGATGGCCGACGAATTCCACGGGCAATAGATAGTTCTGTTTGCAGATGACGACTCAAATGCGCAACTGCGAACACGAGCACTTGCAAGACAGAAAACGAGCGCTGATGGTTTCATCAGGCCCGAGGCCTGGCTGGAATCCCGCCCCTCCAGGCGCATTAGGCTTCCGAGGCCTGACAAGGCTCGCTCGCTGGAATCCCAGGAAATCTTCACCCGGCGCTCTTTTTAGCGGCCACATTTGCAGTCTGTAGCAACACCCATAAGCATGTGCAGAATATTGAGGTGTCCTTGTTCCCTTCCTTTCTGTGTTGCCTTGTTCTTTTGCCTGGTACCTTGTTGCTTCCCTTGGTTTTGTGTTTGCTGCCGTCCAGAGCATCATGTTTTGGAATACCAGCCTTAAACACAGAATTCTTCGTGAGGGCGTGCAGCCTGAAATTTAATTTCTGGCTCCATCAGCTCCATGTGCCCTTTGTCTAGGAGCAGGCTGCGCAACATAGGGCCCTAAATCAGTCTTGCAAAGGTTTTAGCTGCCTGGGCCGGTCAGACTCTGAACGACAAACTGGTGCCGTTGGCGAATGTCTGATACGTAAACTACAAATGTTTCGACACGGCAAGCCCGGTGGAAAGGTGGGGCGATGCGTTTGACCAATTTTCAGGGGCCCGCGATGTGCAAGTTGCAACAGTTCGAGCCACTGAAGCCAGGCTTGACATTTGTTGGAGCCCATATGAAAGGCGTCTTGCTCAGTTCACAAACGTCCCAAGATGGTCAGGTTCATGCAGACCACCATATCCATTTGATCTGTTTGCAAAAGCTCGGAGGACCTCTGAAGGCTTTAAACCCAGGCCTGAGTAGCACATTCTGAAAGAAGTCTTCAAGGGTGCAACTAAACACCAATATAAAAGAAAGGGTAACAAAGCAAGGTTACGGCTACGTTAGCGACGCGGCACGAAAACGTCAAACATTGAAGCATTCCTCTGCGTCGCTATCGTCACTGCAAGCAAACACCAGGACTGATTCGCTGAGTCGGTCTTTTCCAAAATGCGAAGCCGTGTCGGAAATTGCAATGCGCATTGAAAGTGAGCCATCATGCAAAACAAACAAGTTCGGGAACCTTCTAGGTTGGGGATTTGAATGGCTGAACTTGTCAGGACTTTAATCTTAGGCTCGTAAATGCTCGTAACCTCGCAGAAGCCAGCACTCACCAAGTTAGCACTCCAATTGCTCTAGGAGCGGCTTTTGCGTCAACAAACAGTAAGGCTTCTTTGGCACAACAACCTGCCAGTGCAGCTGTACCAGAAAGAAGACACCGGACACCGCCGTATGGGAAGCTGCGTGTATTTCACTCTCGAACCTTCACCCATCCTTTGCATTGTTGCTGTTATTGTAATGATTGTCTTTGAGTCTACAGTCCAGCTTGTTGGTATTACTGCTGCGATTGCTGGGTATTGCCAAAGTTGTGGTCATAGGCCACACCGCTACCCAAATACGACACCTGCCGAAACACGGCCTCATGAATTAACCAACATTCTTTCTTTCGGGTATATGTCCCATTTCACCCAAAGGCAATGACCGCTGAATGTATCCAGGCTCCAAAGATCTAAGAAATTTCTTGGGTCGTGGATATGACATGGCACCCACTTTTCTGTCTCCAGGCTCCAGACATTTGCCTGTGAGGTTGGTGCTCGCTTCTAGCCATAGCCATGCATGAGGAAGTAGAGGCTGTTTAGCATGATTGCTGACCCTGCATGTGGCTTGACATCCCCTCGAAGATCTCGAAGACATCTCTGTGCCTCGAGAAGGGCCATCTGCGGATCCTGCACCCTCCGCACAACTTCACCTACTGAAGCCTCCTTAGCCTCAGCTTTGGCCCACAACTGGCTTTGAGTTGCTTCCTGGTAACCGCAAGCAAACCCAGCGAAGGGATTCTGCCCATCACGCACCACGCACGGAGGCTGCGGCAAATCTTGAAACAGTGGCTTAAGCGAAGCAACCGCATCAAGTAGATCATAACCTGTTACCATGAATGGGATGTTCAGCGCGCAAATCTGCTGAATCGCAGGGTACCAAGACTCACGCACACCCGCATTGGGAACCACAACAATGTCAGGCTCAGGTCCACCATCATGCGCACGGAAATCTTGATAAAGCATCCGGTGCGACGAAACATGCAGATTGGTCTCACCTATGGGAGCGTGGGGTTCTCCCACTGCATCCATGTCCAAATCTGGCCCGATCAGGCGCAACAAGACCTCTGAAGCGGGAAAAGCGCGGGCGATCTCTGCAAATGCCCCAGCTGATAGGGCGGCTTGTTCCGCTACCTGAGCACCGACAACATCAACTCGAAGCCTCTTGTGACAATCGTCTCGTTGGCCAGCCGGCACCGAAAAGCCAAGCTCTTCGAACTTCTTAATTCCAAACAGGATTGTCAAAGGGATGCTCAAAAATGCCGTCGCCTGGCCGATGTCTGTAGGTCGAAAGCCGCGTGCATTGAAATAATCCACCCAAGAATCAACACCATCGAAATCAAAGTTCTGTGGAGCTACGTGGAGCTGATTGGATAGTTGCGCGCGGCGCGAAGTACGTTTCAGCCTGTGCTCATGCTGCACCAATTGCGCCCACAGCCGAGCCTCATCGCACACCTGCGTATGTATTTGTAAGTGTTTTTGTCGGCATTTCTCTGAGCAATAGCGCAGGAGACAGGGATTCAATTTGTTCGAGAAGTCACGTGTAACATGCGACGGAATCTCAGCACAATCCCCATCCCGGCGACATGCATTTGTCACCCGCATCGGAAGAAAACACTCAGAGCATACAGCAAGACGGAGCGATAGTGGGACACACTTCGTGCCATCCATCAACCAAGGAGAAACGATGGATGCGGGCAGAGGTTGCCATCGCCTCCAAGTCAAATATGTGCGAGGGCGCGAGGTGTTCTGGCTCAAAACAAATGGCATATATCATCGCCTTGGGGGACTTGCTTTTCCGCTTTGCATTTGTTTGAACAGATTGATTCCACTCGTCCGCCTGGTGCTCTCATTGGTCGACTGACGGAGCACAATAGCCGAAGGAGAGCACCGCAGCCGAGCTCAAAGTACAAGGACCATAGGAAGCATTCTGACCAAAAAATGGATAGAGTTCCCACTCCACTGAAGTCTGGCTTTAACGCCAATAAGAAGGAAGCTGGCAATCCACTGCTGGTGATTAATTTGACCCTGAAAGGCGCTGAATACATGCAATTGTTATTGCCATGACGCTCACCTTTCGTATCGACTGCATCGATGAAATCGCCCAGCGCGTTGCATCCTAGCGCAGAAGAGGATTTCGCAATATAGAGCTTGTCCTTTCCGAAGGGCACGATGATGATTTCCGACTGTGAGTCAATGCCCAGTCGCTTCTCCATGTCCCTAACGAATTGCGGCATCGCCATTCTGGGCAAGGCACAGCAAGCCTTGCACCTCACGGAGAGGAAAGAACCTGGGATGATCTCCTGAATCTCCAGATCTTTGTCCGCCCGCTGCTCCAGCCAAGACATGGCGCGCCCCAAGTTCTGAGCAGCATTTTTTGGGCTCACAAGATCAGGATCGTCCAGCCCATCTGCAAAGCAACTATCCCCGCCGACCGAGTGTTGCGACATGCGTTGCATCGCAAATAATCTCTTCCCCCTATTAATAAATACGGCCCCCCCCCCCTATTATAAATAAATCCTCCCAAAAATAGATTTTTTTTTAATTGGGGTTTTCGGGGTTGGGTTTGCTTTTCCAACAATGTGAGGGTTCGCATAGGATTTGGAGGAAATGGATTGAATTGTAAGGTCCGCGAGTAAGCGGTTTAATAAGGAAATTTCATGTATCATTCTATTTGTTTTTCAGTTTACTGGTTGTTTGTTGGCAGCCAGGCAGGTTAGCCAGCATGTATGGGGGAGAGACAGTCGCAGCTTAAAAGTGGGGCTGGAAGCTTGTTAAAAGTGCCCCCTAATAAGGATTCCAAGACTTTAGTATTGGTTTAGTATTGGCGCAATTAAACATCAATTGTGCGGAGTGGAAATCTGGTCTCGGGCCCCGGATTTGCATTTATTATTAATGGGGGTCATTCATTAATTGGGGGAGGAGATTAGGTGCAACAACCCGTGAACGTCAAGCTTCGTTGTTGTAAAGTTCGACAAGCCGCACTTCTTGGCATGGTAGATCCAGGATGGAACATTCAAACATGGCACAAGGTAGATATTTCCCGTGTCACAAATTGAAAAGCTGTCCTAAAGCACCCAGCTCAGTAAAGCCGGAAGCTCCTCTGTTGGGGTGCCCTTAAACTTGTGGTACAGGTTGTCTACAGACACTGACGAAGTGTCAGTTATTCCAGTCTGCGAAATCATCTTCTCAAATGCCCCACGGGAAATTGGAGCAGCTTTTTCCGTAGCATGCGGAAGCGGTGCAGGCGTCGTTGTGTGTGCACAAAGAGAGGACTCAACACTCGCCTTTCCACTTGTTGAAACTTTCTTGGCCCGATTCTTCAATCACATCCGCGACCTCTTCTCAGTGCTGTCTGCATTGAATGCTTCCTCGATAGCAGCCCACCGGCCATCCCCATCAGTGCTCCTGAAGGAGCCGCAGAAGAAGCGAATCGGCAACCTCTGCTCCCATCTTCCAATGGAGCCTGTTGAATCCACGGAGAAAAGTACTCTTCACAAAGACGACGCAGAGTTGCACCCGTGCGCGGCCATCTGGGCGACGGGAGTTGAAGCAGGTCTCGCCTTTGCTTGGGGACCGGGGACTAGTCGATTACATGATTGCTATCACTGCTGTTTCACAGCTGCAAGACCTTGATTATGATGATGATGCTTGTCAAAGGTACTCTTACTGCTGGTCTATGCTTCAGCTGGGCAGCACACAAAGGTAAAGAAGCCACAAAGGGCATGGCTACGCGGGCCGCAACCGCTATAAAGACGGCGCGTGGAATTGCAACAAACAACAGCATGCCAAACTCAGAGTCAAATCTATCGGGGCACCCGCAACATGAAATACTGCAAGAATCAGTCTCCAGCCTCAGGCAACTTTGGCTTCCAAAGCTTGTCCTGGAACGGAGGCAGCAATTGGGTAAATGGGTTCTAGGGCTCCCCTTTCCAATCAGCGTCTTTTTCAAACACCAGCCGTTACGCCAGGTGTTTGGTTGCCACTGAAAGAATGGTTTCTGGAAGAGCCCTGAACGCCTGAAAAGAAAAGGGAAGTTAATCCTTGCCTGACAATCACTGATTTGAAGTGTGCCGCCAATGGAAGCGTTGAGAACCCCAAAGTGACGAGGCAACTGCCGCATACTGCTAAAGCAGCACCCAGCAAACCAAATCGAAGACCTGCCGCAGCACAATGCCCAGCCCCGTCCTCCGCGGTGAGCCTGGCTGTGGCTCGAGCTCAAGAGCAAACACGCTCCATGGCCCAACATGCTTATCCAGAAGCTCATATGATATCCTACGTATGGTAAGCGTCTCAGGCCAGGCAGGCACTCAGCCAGCAATCCAACCATGAATTATTGGGCATCAACCAAGGGCTAAGGGTGTGTTGATCCTGCCCTTGTGGGCCAATTTGCAGACCTCGAGTAGCTCGTGAGTGCTGGCTTCAGTGCGTCTCATTTCGCATATCAAGCATACATTCCCGTTTTTGGACCGTCGGGTCAGAACAGCCACTCAAATCCGATCACAAAGGGAAAAGACAGACATGCAATTGACAATCTCGGCTGGAATCCTACACTCTTCACTGGCTCGGGCCAGGTCCCTTGGTCCACCTGAACAAGTTATGACTGTGCTCGCCTCCCTTTAAGACTAGAAAGAAAAGGCTCCTAAAAAAGAGCCAGACCCATATATATATATATATATATATTATACCTGCTTGCCAATTTCTGATAGACCCAAAACATTCGACGGCTCGAGCCTCAAGTCTACCGGCTGGTCCCAGAGTGCGCGCAAAAGCCGTGCTTTGGGCTTTACCAGCACTTTGTCCTCGCGGTAAAAGGACAGTGGCAAGGCGGCTTTCAAATCTGGGTCTTGGGAAAAGAGCCAGCTGAAAGCGGTCCACTATCCTTTCTTTCCTTTCCTTTCTCTCCTTTCCTTTCCTTCCTGTTCTCTCCTCCCCTCCCTTCCTCCCTTCCTCTCCTTCCTGCCTGCTGTCAAACAGTCATGGAATCGGACACGGGGATTCTGAAGGGAAAGTCCCTACCCGCTTCTGCGGTGGGTGGAAGGAGGGTGATTGGTGAGCCCACATAAGCCCACCAGTCTAAATGGACCCCCGCCCTAGCGCTTGACCGTCATAATGCCAATAAATCCACCCCGTTTGCCCAAAACACGCGTACACACACAAAGAAATTCACAGGTTCAAATCCATTTCGGCATGTCAAATTCAAGCCCCCAAACCAAGGAGATGAAGGTTCATGTTGGGTTCTCCCAAAGAGCTACCCTGAAACCAGGACACATGCCAGGCGCCCCCAATGGCTGCCAAATGGCCCCCTACCGGAGGTCACTTAAACATTTCATAGCCGTTGAGGGGGTCCTGGCCCATTTAATCCCGAAGGAGTGTGTTTTTGAGGCTCGGTATCCTTTTCACCTTGGTCTAAGGGAAGCCAAAGAAAAGCCGAAGCCACTGGTCTTGCAGTGGCCATGGAAAAAACCAGGCGCCTTTTCTGCTGGTGGAAAACCATTCCCCAAAGGACAGAGAAAAACAAAAAAAGGCCCACAAGGTGTTCCGCATCCCTCCCCGTGTGCCTGAGCCGCATCCACCTGCAGCTCCAGAAACTTGAGCATCCCCCCGCCCCCCAGGCGCTGGACACACCTGTGCCAGGAATCCGCGCGGGACGGGGAAACCGCATCGGATCAACCCCGAAGAAGATCAGAGTACCCAAAGAGCACTTCAACGGTAGGCCAAAAGCACAGGCACCTAAACAAGAAAGCAAGACTCCTGCAAACAAGAGACTCCAGTAGAGTATACAGTAAACAACCCCCTTTTGGAAGACGACTTTGAACATGGAACAACCCACTATCAGCTTCCGTGTCTGAATGTTGCCAACTCCAACGCCAAGTCACATACGACTTTGACGGTCAAGGGTCTATGTAAGGCAAGACCTACAACAGATACATCGCAGTGACGCCTTCTTCTCTTACAGGCTCTGTAGGCTCCATCACCAACAAGTGCGTTGGAAGTGTTGCGCAACCAAGCCAAAGATACCCAAGTAGCGTCTATCAGCGCCCGCGCTTTGACAAGAATATAACTCACAGTGTTAGAAAAGTCGACTAGATTGGCGGTGCCCGAAACATGTTCTCTACTGCCTGCTTCATCCGCCAAACCTTCCGCGGGTCATATGCGACCACAGGTTTTGCCTACATGAGCCCAGGTTCTCGCAACTTCTCGCAAACCCCTTACGCACAGCTTACGGCGCGCAGCCTTCACGTCTCGCGCGCGAGGTTCACTTTGACAGCACCAGCTCGAAGCTCGCAACTTTTCAAGTGTAGTACGCGATGTATCCCCAACGTTGAAAGCGTCAAAAAAGAGAGCTTCCGCGGAGCTTACGCTGCGCTAGTTTTACCAACAAGCCTTACCGTGAGCTTCCGCGGCCCATGTTTTCTTAAGCGGAAGCATGCCAGAAGCAACGGGTGTCAACTCTTCCCTTGACGTGTTTTTGGCGCTGCTCAAAGGGTTTAAGCAATGAGCAATATGCGGCGTCCTTGCTCCAAGGTCTTGAAAACGCAAGCAACAAGTTGGAGTCCACCAAAACAATGATCCACGTGCTGACTAAATCTGTGCTCCCAGGATGTGCCTGGGCATGCTTTCTGGGTAGATAGGGGTCTGGAGACATCACAATACTTCCCATTGGCTTCCCTTGTACACAAGAAGGGAAGTTTCCTATGTATAGGAAAGGACCCACCCTTGCATGGTTGACTTTACTCTTTAAACACCATGCCATAGAAACAAGCGATATGCTATTCAGCCACCTGTGATGGCCCGGGGCTATCCGGACTTCGCCTAAGGCTCATCCTGCCTGTACAGGAAGAGTGTGGCTCCATCTTGGAGGCTCTCATCAAAATGGAAGACCTTGGCAAGCCCTGGGCTGGGTATGTCCCAAACTGGGGGGTTGGGAATGTTCCAAATGGGCGGCTGCCTTCGGTTCACTCAAAAGCAACATTGACAAAGGGGAAGCTTCGAGAAGACACCCCCAAATTGCGAAACACAAAGAGCGAACATGACAATGTGCGGCCATTGTCCTAACTTCGATAGACCTACAGCACGATGGGTCCACATGCTTTCCAAGCATGTCCGGCCGTCTGCCGTCTGCGCCTCATGGTAGGTTTCTTCTAAGGGCAATGCATACAGCTATCCCGGAAGTCATAATGGATGTTGCCCTTTAACTTCCGTACTTGCATAAGAACTGGTAATCCCTATCCAACACGTTCCTTGGCCATACCCCGGATGTGCCTGTCAAAAAAACAACATGAAGCCACCTGAGTTCCGCGCCATGTCGTCGTTCCCGCGCGCGTCTTTGCCGGGCAAAATTGTGAACATATTCTTGCCACTCGGCACCATCTCAAAGGAGCCTTCAACTGCGAACCTGAGGCATCCGACGCTGTCAGGTTGCAGCTCTGGGAATGCAGTTCTGCGTGTCGCACACGCAGATTTGGGCTGGGGTGCTCACAACGGCTCGCAGACTGCACTCCAGGAGTCCCTTTGACATGGATCAATCCCCTCAAAAGGTAGGACCGCCTCTGCTGAATTGAAGGGATCGATCCTGCTAAGCCACCTTCTTGGCCCAATCCTGAAGATATAGGCGAAGCCAGTCTTGCAACATGGCGTCTCAATGCCACAATCTGACGGGGGTCCACTACTTTCAACCTGCTAAGAGACATGGCCTCTACAACACGATGTCCGAGGCTTCAGCCAGCCATCGTTTCCATTGCCTCGCAGCACACTGCCCCATTTTTCTTGAGATCGAAAGACTCGGAAGAAATGCCCATTTCGCAGTGATAACCATTTGAACACAGGCGGCTCCGAGTTAGGTTGGGGACTGATCTAGATATACTGCGCTTTTCAAAGGGTACAATCAATTCCCACGTGGCACGTTTCACGAACTGCTCACAGGTTGCCACTGGCAGCTGGCTTGCTACAAAAAAGGGCTACCTTCGGGGAGATACATGCAAGTTTCGAGCTGTGGGGCATTGCAAACGGTACATGTGTTCGACATAAGAATGATCTTTTCCTTGAGTGCGTCCTCCACAAGGGGGCTTGCAGGGACTGCCCCGAAGCAATATGCATGTCGCCCACGGGGCTTGCAGCATATGTTGGCAGGCATCCCCAGCCGGATCAGACTGAGTCAGGAATCAGCTGGATCTGAGTGAAGTTTGGACCTTTCGGTGGACATCATTTACATGGGAATTCTGGAAGAACCTTTTTGATGGGGTTCAAGTGCACAAATGTTGGACCGTTTGACTGAGTGCTGGTCCCTTTGAGTTGAGGTTGTTGATGCGCAGCTCAAAGTGCTTCAAGTCCTGCCGGCGAAGTCGTTCCACGCCAATCAGTGCAATGTCCTTATTATCAACAAAGAAGGCAATCAAGGTGAGCTTAATAAATTCGCGCAGGCGAATATCAGAATATAATATGAGCATCAATTCTATAACCCCAGTCCAATGACTTAGGCCCTAGCCCTAGCGCTAGATATCTCTAGAGCATCAAGTCTATTCATAAGTCGGATGGCTTCACGTGTCCAAACTCCAGTCCTTCATCTTCAAGGTCACAGAGATGGCCACCTGTTGAACATCTCAAGGCACATTGAGCCTATCGGAACTCGGCCAAACAGATCCAACCTGCAACGTCAATGTGAGGAAAACCCATGAAAACCGCGAAACATTGGACAATGAAGGCAGCCAAGAACTCTTGGTTTCACAGTTTGAACCATATGAACTCTGCGAGTTCATGGAACCAGTGTGGCTCTCGCAAGGCTTGCCAAGCCATGTCCATGGGTCGCTGGGCATGCCCACATTGTTCGCGTTCCAAAGTGTCATATACTCATTCTGGTAGACCGCTCCCTCCTGGCTGCGTCAAAACGACTTCACGTGACGATTTGGAAAGTTCCTGGTTTGACAGCCTTCGCATGACACATAATGCATACCTTCACATGGCACTGTCAATGGCTCATCCAAGGAATATGCGACGCATGCGACCTTCAGGTAGGATCGGTTGGAGTCCTCAGCTACCTGCGAGGGCAGAACAATTTTCCGAACAAATGAGCAGCTGGCGTCATCGCCACAAACAACAAGGATACAGCCAAAAGTGATAGCTGTGCAACCTGCAAACCCAATGGGGAACCTCCAAAATGCCATACCCTGATAGTTTTGTCTGTTGCTCACATTGACTAGCAACAAAGCACGGCGATCAATCGCGAGCTAAGAGCCATCAAGGAGGACAGCATGCCATCACCACAATCCTTTACCCATCGCGAAGAGTTAAATCCGAAACCAATCCCTTGCTTCAAATCGCCCCGACACCGCCAAAAGGCGGCATGAAGAGGCCGTGCTGCCATGCACAAACACGTCACACTACTCCAACTTAAAGAGAAAGAAGGGCGGGTTTAGGTCCGCCAATTCAAATGTTTGCAGTCTTATCCAGAAAGGGAACTGGCTGCCGGAACCCTCGAATCCTGCCTTGGCTTCTGGGGCCCGCTGTACCTGGCAGCTTGCACGGTGACGGCACAAGGCTCCAAAACAAAATCTGAGAAGAAAACTAGCAAATCCAATGAGCTTTTTGAAAAGGGGAGGCTTAAGACTCTTTAGAAACATAGGAAGCCCGGCGCGGGCTTGTTTATAAGACCACCTGATTGTTTCCGGGGGAACATAGGGAACCACCTGTGTCTCGTCCACATCCAGTGAACGAACCCACCGGAAGCCCCGTAAGTCTCTGAAGGCGGGAGATCCCTGGCAAACCCGCGCCTGCCGCGCCGGAGCCACAAGGCTCAAGAACACCTGTAGGCAAATGCTCGACAGGTTGTCCCAGTGTGTGTGGGTCTGTGTGTGTGGGAGGTAAAGTGTACGCAAAGGTCAAACATTACATATGAAAAGCTTATGCAATAGTACTGTATGCACATTGTTCAACATTTCACGAGGAAAAGCAACTGCTCAAAGGAAGACATCTCGAAAGCACCGCCTGTGACATCATGAGACTTTGGGGCAGAAAAGACTTGGTTGACATGTCCGAGCATTTCATGTTGTTACAACATGCAGTCTGTTTCTCCCTTGCCATCCTTCGCGCTGTTTCTCATGCCTGAATTGAAATTCATGTCTCGCTCATGTCGCCATCACTCTCTTGAGACCTTGATTTGTTTGTACGTGTTCGTCTTGTCTGATCTTGATTGGCCACAACAACAGGCCGACAGACTTGTCGGATCTCAAACCACCTGCCGACAGACTTGTCGAATCAGACCTACTTTAGTCTGATTCGGGCTGACAGGCCCCTTGCGATTCCGATCATAATGCCTCCGCCGCAGGTCAAGGGCTAAGGAGGAGCCTTGTGGCAATCGAGGAATTGTGGCGGCACATGGCTTGGGAGTGGAATGAGTTGAGCTGAATTGAATTGGCAGCGTGCCAAGTGTAGCCAGAGACATATGCAAGCGCAGCCTTCTCGCAGTTCCCAGTCTGGACTCTGGACAGCGGTTTTCAAGGGTCATTCAGCTGAGCGGCGAGGCTGATGAGGCTCGCGTCCGCCAGGGCATGATTCCTTGGAAGCTGCTGCTTCTGCTCTGCTGTTGCTTTTGCCAGGCAGAAGTGCTGCGAGTGCCATGGCCCGCATGGCCCCCGTGCCCGCTGTGAAGCACTTCCCAGACACTCTCGACAATGCACAATTCCACTGGAGTGGCAGCAGCATCACATGCCCCGGCCACATCTGTGGCATTTCTCGTCTTGGGGTGCAGGACCTCCAAGTCCCTTGGCCAGCCGTCTGCGCCAGAGGCAGGGTGTCTGAATCCTCCTCCCTCGGCTCGCGGGGAATCAGCACTTGCAAACTTGAAGTCTGCCCAAAGAGCCACCATGAAAGTGAGCCGACGACGCGGCCGGCTGGAAGTGTGGTCCATGTCTGCATGCGCCTCACACTGAGGTTCGCCGGCAGCCGCTTCGGTGAGATGCTGGCCCAATCCTCCGGCCCCGGCGACTACGCCATGCAGCAGATCTCCTTGGAACATGGCCAGTCTGTTCGGGCAAGGATGTACAAGCACAGCCCTCTGCGCAACCCTATCCCCGATGCGTTGATCTGTCACAATCGTGTCTCCCCCAACGTCCTTGTCACTCAAGTACAATACACAGCTCACCAGCGGCGTCCTTGGGCCGTGCCCATCCCCCCAGTCAGCGCTGTCAAAATGGAGCTCGTGGCCACCGACTTCGGGCTTCACGTGAGACCACCACTCTGCATAGCGCGCATCACCTTCTTTGACCAGGCCGCTCTTGCAAGCGAGCTCATGCACGCGTGAAACAACAAGCCCCACATATGTATCCAGCCGCTCACCAACTCCAATGACATAAGAGAAAAAGCCCCTGTCACGACTGAAATAGTCGTGCTCTGACCAGAAGAGCGCTCCTTCTCCCAGAGTGGATCGCAGGTCTTCGAACAAGGAGTTGGAGAGAGCACCGTCGAAAGCAAAGCAAAGCAACCGTGATGCAGGTACTTCTGGATTATCTTTGTGTCCATCCTTCGATCTTGGCTTTTTCTTGCATTGGTGCATCAGCACCTCTGATGACAGCCTGTGCGTATAGCCATTTGCACACAAAAGGTCATGTGCCTCGTCCTGTCTCCCAGTCTTCAGCAGAAGCAGCCCGAGTCTCTGCACTGTCGTCCACTGCGCTACTTCCTGCTCGCCTTGCTGTGCCAGGGCTTCCTCTCCACATTGCCGATGCTCGTTCCCTGTTCCTTCGGCATTCCGTTGCCGCAGAAAGCGGGGCACCCCCAAGCGATCCGCCGCCTGTTTGATCAGACGCTCGATTTTCAGGACGGATGATCCGGGCGTGTAGCAGCACATTTCGTTCCACTCCTGCTGAGCTGCGTCCAGCTCTAGCCACGCCCTTCTCAATGACAGATGGCTCCCTGCCTCGGAGATACCCGTTCCCTGATCTTCCTCATAGTGCAGCTCAGTGGTACCGCCGCCCTTCATGCCTTTTCGCATCTTTCTGCTGCTCTCCTCGTCCTTCTGCCTCTCTTCCTCGATTCTCCGTTTCCATGCCCTAGCATTGGCAAGAAGAGCATACATCGATCGCTTTTTCGCAGCTACAGTAGACTTCCTCGATTTGGGGCCAGCCAAAGGCACCTCATTGACACTATGTTACTCTTCACTTCCCCTTCACTTTGTGGATGTACCAGGAAAGCACACATGAATCCTCTGTGGGTCACTCCGTCTGTCTTCTGTACCTGATGCTTTGATGCCAGGGATATGCAGTATGCTTGAGCAAAAAGATGAATCATTGGTCAGGTGATCCAAGCTGCAGCCAAGTCGGAGCTTCAGGCCTTCTCTTAGCCGACACATCAGAAGCGTATGGACTGAGGTCAGCCGGAAGCCAAGTGGTTCCGACACCAACGCAAGGTGCTCCAAAGACCGTAGAACGTTGGTTCCCTCAAACAAACAAAAGGTCCCAATGGCAATCACTTAGATCTCTCTTTTTTTGAGGGTACCCCTTCTGTTTGGTTTAGGGAAACCAAAAGGAAAAACCGAACCATTTTGGGGGGTCCCCCCGAAAAAACAGACTCAGCCATGTTCCTGTTCGACCCATTTAGTTTGTTTTGAGTGACCCCCGAGCCGAGCCCCCGGCGGCAAAGACAAGCAGAAGAAAAACCCACGCCCGGCGACGGCCAGCTGTGGGCAAAGCCTCGCGGATCGGTGACCAGATGGGCTCTCGCCACTTTGGTCTCTCGTCGTGAGTTGGAACTGACCTCGAGTACTTACTTCCTGAGTGGACTGGCCAAAAAAAGAAATCCTGGAACTTGTTGTTTACCACTAAAATGGTCGTTCCAAAAAGTGGACCAGGGGCCTGTTCAATCAACGAAAGTGGAGAGTGGACGCCTGTTCATAATAGTTCTCCAAGAATCATGAAAGACAAGGGCCTGTTCAAGAGGATGGTTGAACAGTCCTGTTCGCTTCCAATACTTTTGAACAAACTGTTGACTAGAATCTCTTTCCGGGCATGGTGGGGGCAAGCAAGCCATGGCAAACCACACGCTTCCAAAATAAGTGCGACACGTCCGGTTGAAACCGCAAACAAAGCTATGTTTTTTCGGCATTCAAGTTCACAAAGCGTCAATCCCTACGACTCTACGAGAAACACCTCATATTTCAGCCTAGAGGTAACTTCCCCATTCTTTCCAGGAGTCCTTTCTCAAGAATCCAGGAACGCCACCAAACACCCCGGCACAGGGGCTTGAAGGGAATCAAGCGCAAGTACCTGGTGTTCTCAGCCTTTGGTTTTTTCCCTATTTCCAGAGCTTCTGAGCTCCTGAGCTCCTGAGCTTGGGGCTTCACTGGGTGTGGGACACATCACCGAGAAGCTGGCGGCCCTGACAAAGCCTGGCGACAGGTCAAGTTTGCCAACCCAACCCCTGAGGATTTGGTGAACATGGTCTGGGTATGGCCAAGTTCTCAGGAAAATCTGCAGCTTAGACAAACACCCGCAAAGCAAAGCATACTGAATCTTAGCAGCTTTGTAATTGCTGATTGGCGAATCCCTTGACAGGGTGCCGACTTGGGTTTGGGTTGGAGGCAGTTTCAGTCTAGAACAAACAACTCGATAAACCCAATGTGCTCAAAGGCTCTCAATTTCACCCCCAATATTGCCAGGGGAAAAGACACAAGTTTGAGCCACCCCTCATTCAAGGCCGGCCAGGTTGAAAGCTGTCAAGCTGTAAATCTCAAGCCCGACCGTCTCATCATGATGTTGTTTTTCTTTTCTTGTTTTTGTGTTTTTTCCGCTGAACACAAAAAACAACCGCTCTTTCTACGATGCGGGCACATTCCAGTGAAACCCAACCCTTCCGGCCCTTGCCTTCCCTGCCCGCATCACCCTTGCACTCCTTTCTCTATACCCGCCTTTCTCGCATTCGTCATCGGAGCAGTTTCCACGTGCTTCTTCCATCCACTCCAGGTTAGCAGGGACGCTCCTGCACCTCAGAGGCTACTGCGGCAAGAGGCTCCGGGTTCGCCTGAAATATATCTGAACCCACCACCGTGGATGCTTCTTGTAAACTCTTTGGGGCTCAACGACTAGCCATTCCTTGTGTTTCCCTGGGGAGCGGTGGGAAACAAGGCAGGTGAGTGTAACAAGTTAGGCCAGTCTGCTCAAAAGAGCAAACGACAAATCGTGAAGGACAAAACATCAAGCTGCGAGGAAAACAGTAAAGCTGCTTGAGCAGTTTCTCCAGGGGTCTACTCTTAACTCAGACTCTTAACCATGTAAAGAATCAAAGCCCTCATTGAGCAAGATTTCAATTGTGGCTCAAGGGCGGTTGACCCAGACCTTTAACGGCCAGAGGGAACAACAGGCTGGTGGCAGAAGTACTTGGCTTGTTTGCTTTACTGGGCGGGGAAGCAGCACGGTTGCAAAGGCACCTGAGTCAAGATCAAAACGTAGATAAAGGGGTCTACCCCAAACACGGTCAAAACTCGAACGAGCGGAGGAAAGCCGAAGCTATGGCAAGGGGACAGTCTCTCAAATACTTGCTTTCCACATACCCTCCGCCCGGCAGGGTGCACGTGTAAGACTCCATGGGTCCTGTAGAAGCAACTGGCGGCCTTTCAATGGTTGACCAAAATTGAGTCATAATTTTCATTGACTCTTTGGCGCGCATTGGGAAATGCGTGTCCAAACTAGCGTGTTCCGACCATTAAAATGCAAAACCGATTACCTTGCGGGCTGATCATCATCCGCACCGGCACCACCTAGTAACGAGTTGGGCAAAAGAAGAGTTGACCGGGCAAAAGCACGGGCAGATTGACATGGCTGGTAAGTCGTCCGGTCTTCCCTGCTCCCAGAACCTCCTTTCCATCCCTGAACTCCTTCCCTCCTTTGTTTCTCTGAATCAAGTGCTACCGTTTGTCCCAGCCTGGAGGCCAGGAGCGTTACTTTTCCATCCTGCTGGTTGCACATCCTGCGCTGCGAGAGCAGATGCAGGCACTTCACGTGGTTGGCTCCCATTTAAGGCTGGCACCCACAGCCAGGTTGCCCAGTTTGAGACACAACAGATTAAATTGAGGATGGCAAGTGCGGGGCACAAGATGCCCCCATGCTGCTGGGCACCATCCTCAAAAAGAACCCTCTTAATCGTAGTTTGAAGGGGAACCACCGGAACCACCCCCAAAAGTCATTGTGAGAACCCCTCAAAATGCAGCCACTCTAAGGGACCCACTGCATGCACCACCCAAACTTGCCTGGAAGAGTCGAGGCATGTGCTGATAAGACTCCACCTACATAATCCTTGAACCGAGACGCATCAAAGTAGGCGCACGTGTCGAGCTTCTTTCTTAGATGGGAGAATGACCCGTGGATGAAAAAGAGTCCCTTTTACACAACCCTCAGCGCTCCAACATGCATGTGCCCCAGAATAGAGGACAAACTCACGAAAATTATTGTGTTTGAACATTGCTGTGTATGAGCCCCAGCCAGACGGGAGGTCCTCCATTGGCAACACCCACAGCTTTGCTTTAGCATCAGCCGGCTTATTTTCCGTCTACAGTTTCTCTATGCCTGCTCTTTGTGCTTCAAAGCATTCTATCTGCATGCAATCGCTACCAGGGCATGGCCATCACATGCCTCAGCCGGGTCTATGCGTTCACAACTCTCTCCAGCTTTTGTGACCGCCTCTGTGCCACCACTCTCAGTTTTAGGATGCCTTGCTATCTAGCCAGCAAAGTGTTGCTTAACTGTGGCAATGCCGGTGTGGTTCAGAGTTCAACAAGGTCACTCACAGCATCACGCCAAGTCGACACACTGAGCAGCACACCACCTTCTGGTACCTAGCTGTGGATGTGCGGTACACATGCACTTGTGAGCACATACTTCACATGGGCTCGGGACCTAATTTTCTAAGGGACAACTACGATGTCAGAGAAATAGGCACCCTCAGTATATGCCCTGTTTATGCTCAGTGCCTGTTCTATTCATAAATCGTGTATACAAATCCAAGTTTGGAAGGGTCCAGACTCCAAGGTCAAAAAGGACAACTCGCTGACAATGTCATGGTCATGAGCTTAAGTGTCAAAGGCATGGTGCGACCCGCCTTCCGGACCTTGATTCGGCTGTGCTCTTGCTGGAGCAAAGAGGTGGCGGCTGAATCACCCACCTGAGATTACGCAGGCCGAGGCTTGCAGCCATGTGGGCAAAAAAAGTGTCAGCGAAGCGCTCAATCTGTTGGTTGGCCCAATGACACGCAAGGACAAAAGAGCATGCAAAGAAAAGCCTGAAATTGATTTGGCCCCTCAATCGTTCCCTATGACTACTTTCTCAGCTTCACCGAAAGTGGAACCTGAAACCTCATGTTCCACAATCATGCCGTAGGGAAGGGGGTTGACAAACATGCCCGAAGCAGGGACCTGGTAGTTTTCCCGCTCACCTTCAACTGTTGGGCTATACGTTGGTTTGGCAACCTCCTGTTAGCCCATCCCTGCCTTTGTAATTAGTCTATGCTTTGCTTTTCTGAAAGCGCTGTGACCATGGCCTTCCAACCATCCACAACATCCCAGGCCTTCCAACCAGCGTTGAGGTTCTATCATAAAAGTTCAATTGGTTGGGTTGTTGCTTTTTGATTTAACAATAACAGCTCAGTGCGCTTGTTTTGTTCTGCGCATTTCACTTTGCATGTTAAAACAATGACTATGAAATAAGAGCCAACACCATGGGCGTTGCTCGTGTTCCAATCCAATCGTTTTGTTTCTCACGGGCCTCATCGATTGCCTCGTCTGCCGCCCGGTCCCGAGCTGCCCCGTGACACTCCTCCACCTGCGGATGCGGCGATCAACTGTCTAACCAAAGTAACCGAACACGAACACCTATAATAAGGGCTGTAAGCCGGAATGAACCACAAACAGTGCTATAACGTTGTTTCTTCCGAACAACACAAAAATAACTATGGATCGGTCTGGTGGCCAAGAGTGAACGATTAACCTTGGACCCTTTGGGCCTATGCTGTTTGCAGATAAACACGGACCCCACAAAACCAATCCATTTCTACCAAATTCTCCGATTAAAGCAAGACACCTTTTTTTTGGGTTGTTGCAAACTCATCCATAGAGGAATCTCCAAAACACACACACACACACACACACACACACACACACACACACACACACACACACACACACACACACACACACACACACACACACACACACACCTTAGACATAAACAACCCCCCCGTAATCCTCCATCTAAATGAATGACAATGAATGCAGTTTTCTCAAGGGGCCAAAGGTCAAAGTACATCCTACGAAGGATATGGATGTCAAACTTGGGCAGAGTTTGCCTTTCGCCCCGCATTGTGGGGAATAGAGGCGAACGACCTTTTGCGAGTCTCCGTTCCAAGAAAAAAACAGCTATAGGAAATTCTGGTGTTCGGTGGGTATAGAGCACATTTCCTGTAGAAATCCCAGTAGCTGGTTTCTATGATCTGTCGATACCTTTGCCGGGGGCCTGGTAAGAGTATGGCTACTATCTGAGAGAAGAGGCACTCCGGGTATTTGGCACTTGCTGATCTCAGGCCTTTGCCAGAGAGCCAAAAAGCACACTGCTACAATCGTGATCCATTGGTCAACTGACAATGCCAGAGGCGGGTGATGGCTTGCTTGCAATCACTTGGGAGAGGCTTGTGGATATCGCAACTGAACTTTGAGGCTCTAGGTACAAACCTCCGCTACCCAAATGGAACATGGCAGAGGGTCCCTTGACTCCTGCAAAGGGACTTGATTCAAACAAGCGGAGGTGAGGTTGGCTTGAGCGCCTTCTTGGAACTTGCAGAAAGCTGGCACCTCGTTCAACAAGACCCCTCCAACTTATTTAATCAAATTACGTAGACAAGGCTCCTGTCACTCAGGAGTACTTTTGGACAAATACGTAGCACTGGTAACTGAACATCAAATCAAACTTAAACCAGCACCATCTGGGCCTTATTGAGGGTTCCCATTTCCGGTTGGCCTAAAATGACACCAACCAAACAACAAAACAACTGTTTTGCCAGGGTCCACCCATCGTGACACACCCTATCTTCAACCAAACTCAAGGACACCAGGGGTCACCAGGCCTTCCGCCATCCCCGGTTCGTCTGGAAGAAGGCCACTGCAGCCATACTGTCCTGGCATTTTTCCACCCGCCTCTCCCGTTTTGGGTGAGGCGTAGCTCTGTTGGTTGGTTCAAAGGGAAACTAAATGGAAGGGGGGTGTATTTTGTGTTTTTTTTGGGGGGGGCGCATGTTGACACCTGCCCATGGAAAAGTAAGACATGGCAAGGTGACCCTCAAAAGGGACCCCCCCCGAAGAAATCTTGAGAACCTCTCAAAATGCAGAATTGAAGGGAACCAATTGAACCCCACATAATTGTTCTCCCGTCCGCGTCCCTTGTTTCAGCGGGACTAAAATAGATGGGGGCTCTATCGACGCAAGATCATTTGGAATCATCTGGAGATGCCGTGTCCGATCCGCGCGAAGCATGATATGTCTTGCCAACCTTAACCTTATTGAGATGCTTGCAGGCACCTCACTTGAACCGTTCAGCTCCATGTAGCCAAGCCTGCTGGATAGTCTGACGCATAGCAGGCTTGGGCACTCCACGGACAGCTGGCCTCCATTCCATCCGCCACCGCTGCTGACATAGCTGGATCCAGGTCCTTCTTTACCTGTCGGCGTGTTGGTCATTCGCCTGCCTGTCCTTCTGTTCTAGCTGTTGGATGGGTCAGTGAGTCCATACGTGCCACAAGTGACTGGAGCAACACGTGAGTCTGCAACGCCCGACCCTTCGGGCTCTGCCGGTTGCGCATTGGTCCTGCGCCTTAGCCCAAGGCTGCAAACCGAGGCCATTCCAACTTGTGCGCCATAGTAAAACTCCCAAAAGGACCATCTAGTCTAACAATCCTGTCAAACGGGCAGTCTTGACCATAATTGGGGGCCCTTTGGTGGACATCAGGCACATGGAGAGTCATACCTACGAACATGTTCCGCTGATTGTTGGTCCTGAGGCCCGGGCGCTGACTCGATACTGCCCTCCTTATTTGGCTCGCATCGACTCCCCGGCAAACGAACATGGAACCAAAACAAGATCCAAATTTGGAGGAGTGATGAGGAGTCTCCATGAAAAACCTGGACCCCCAAAAGTGGGGTCCACAATTCTGTGCAAGAGTTAAGTGTGTCCGGACATGTGCGCGGCTATCAGCTGGGAGTGGTGCCGTCCGCGCATGCGGCCAAGACTCCCTGCATCAGCGAGACTCCCTCGAGGTCAGCCAGCGCCTTGGCACAAACCAGCTGCCCAAGGGCAGGGCTCCCGGAGATGAAGGCTTTGAACAAGGCCTACAAAATATGTGTCCTGTACGTATATATATATATATACACGAGTGTAAACGTGTATATACATATAAACATACATATAAATATACATAGGTTGTCTGAAATTCCTTGTTCCGGAAACCGCCATCTTCGCGAGAAAAAACACTTTCGCGGACCCCATCGCGGAACTTTCGCGGGGCTGTTTTCAGAACATTCATCACAAAACCAGTGCACGAAGTACACTTTCGCAGCCCAAGCTCGAAAGTCGCAACCTTTCAGTTCTAAAGTAGCACGCGAAGCGCGGTTCCGCAGCTCCAGCTCACAAGCCGTGCGGCAGGCAGCACACGAGAGGACCCGTTGGCCTCATGTCCGGAAACCAGCGGGGAGGTCCGTCGACTTTTGCGAAACTTGCGCGGATCTTACGCCAAACATTCGCGAAAATCCGGCTGGACAGTTGCACTCAACTTGACCCGAAAGCTTCAAATCTCCCACAAACTGGTCCGAGAGTGCGCGGCTTGAGGGTTGCCGCAAGAATACGCTGCAAAAGCAACCCCCAGCCAGAAGCCAACTTTAGCCTGCGGGCATTCTGCCCGCACTTCTGGCAAATACACATGGCTCATTCCAGCTTGTAATCAAGCCACTACACAAAACTTTCGCGAACAAAAACAAATAACTTCCGCGGCCCCCTTCGCGAAACTTTCGCGGAGGTCAACGCTAAGACCGACAGGTCTTCCCCTTCATAGCTCAATACAAGGACCTTTCGGACGACTCTCATATGCATATACTATGTGCCCGCAACCTGCTACACCTGCGCAGGCAAAACATGGCAAAACCATGTTTTGCCAAAAGAACCTGAAATGCAGGCGGGTATGTACTGTTGTGCAGGGTATGTAGTTACGATGGAACTCAAAGTGAAGCCACCCGTTGTGTAGGGTTTCCCATTTAGATCATTTAGAGATGAGACATAATGTCAAGAGATTCTGATCAGGACGGCATCTAAGGTTCCCAACGAGGGCTTCTCGAACCCTGGCATTGGATTAGATGCGGTAACGAAACAGATCAAGGAATATCAAGCAGTTTTCTTGCAGCTCACTCAATCCAAAGCTCAGTGATGGCAATGCAAACAGGGTCAGCACGTAGCACCCATGCCGTGACCCACGGTTTGCAACCCCAACATGGTCTCAAATCGGGGGGACCGGGACCCAAAATAATCCCTTGATCTCCGTCTAAATGGGCCCCCTTGATGGGGAAGCAGAGGCAACTGCATCCTCAGCGGACAGCTGCGCCGCGGTGGTCTTGGCAGCCTCGATGTTCCAAAGCAACAACTGGCTGGAATCACCCCTAGCCGTCGGGACCCTTAAAGTGTCCAAAGGGATCCATTGGGATATGTTTGCAACTGTTGATTCCGAGAAGTATCGCATTGCTTGCAATCCACCAGTCTTCCGGGTTGTGGTTTTGCCGCCGATTCTGAATAAAGTAGTCTATGATGATTGTTCCAGAGCTTGTGGTTGGTCAAATTGCAATATCTAGCCACAGGGTGCTGTTGACCCCTTTTCTGGGTGATATTGACAGGTCGAGGAATCCACGCTGCTGCGGCATACTGCTTGCTTGGTTACCTCCAAGAGGCATCCTACACTCATCAGCGCAGTTCGTAGCTGGGCGCCTGAAGACTGCTATTTGCTGCACTGTGCTCGTTGCTTCGTGGTCAAAATGCCCGGCTAATCCCGGCTACTCAGATTTGCTCCCCCTCAAGGCCACCTACAATGAGGTTGTCAAGAAACAACCCCGACACGTTCCCAACGCAAACAGTGCGGCCTTCTTGATGATCTTTCGCGCATGGCCCTGGATCAAGGAAAGCGCAGGCTCCTGCACGGCAGAAGACAAGAACCCACAAAAACGCCAAAGGGTGACGAGACCGTGATGGGAGTGGGGGAATCATCTTTGTTTGATGCTGGACAATGGCATCCGCCACCAAAATAGGAAGCCTCATTTGGTTCAAGGGAAATCAACAGGAGTCCAACCACCTGCGGGGATCTCTACTCTGGCAAGCCGGATATCACAGAGGGGACGGCCATACCTAGAAAATGATGGGATAGCAAGCTGCATCTTCAGAAATTCCATGTTTCTGCGGATGCTCGTGCTTGGCGGGTGCACCGCCCGAGGAAGTGATGTGTTAGTGCCGGTTTCACTTTACGTCGGGCGGGCCCCAGTTTTCGGAAACCATGGGACAATAAACATGGACCAACGGGCAGCTGTGGGGAGCTTTGCTTGTGAATATGTGCAGTACCTCTAGCCTCTCTTTCGTCTGGTCACGGTTTACCATGTCAAATGTGCGTCTCTCAGCAGCCTGCTCAAAGTCACCACTCTAGTGACTCTAGTGAGTATGTGTGTTTGACTTTGCAGCCACACACTACTTTCTACAAGCCACGAGCCTGATTTCAAGAATCCTTAAGGAGACCGTCATGCGTAAACATGGGTATGAGTATCTGGGAATCTGTCAAAATGGGCGGACCTCAAACCGGGTCCCTCGAAAAAAACCCAATATGGGTGAGCTCGTTGTACCGGCAGGATCACCGCCGCCCATGGCACTTGCTGGTGTCCTCCGTCTCCAGGGCGGCGGCGTGGAAGATAGCTAGCAGGCTCAGTCTGAAAATCATCGGTTTCGGCACCTGAGAGGTACCGAGGACCAATTCACAGCCCCCATTTCTGCAGTGTTTGAAGTGAACACTGCAAAAAAAACTGGACGCAAAAGGGCAAACATGGTTTCTGGGCCCGTCTCTTGCTTGCAACCTGCCACGGCTCACTGAAGGCGGCACCAAATAAACAAGCCACAGACTTGCGCACGAAAACGCCGTGGGTGCTTGCAGGCCTCGGAGGATGGACACGTCAAAGAAGAAGAAGGGGCTATGGGCAATTCTCTTCAGTTCTCGGGCAGGTCAGCGAGTAATGCTAGTAGTCTTCACAAAGCGACAACTGATGGCTCTGAGTGTTCAGGACAACCTCACACTACGGCCATTGATGTTGGGAAAGTTCTCCGGGCCGCAAAAACAGGCGCAAACGCCCATGACCAACTTGGCAGAGAATAGTGATGGGGGCTGGGGGGAGGGAGGGAAGGGGGGGAGCCCAAATCAGGCCTTAATAAGACTTGACAAGCCCAGAATAGGGCTTGGGTTTGGGCTCCCTCCCTCCCCTGCAAGCCCCCATCCAAATAGAATTTGAGCTGTCCAGCAATGCCCTAGCCCAAGCTAAGATGGTGGCTGCAAGCGCGGAGAGGTTTTTCCCTTCCCACGAACACTGAGCCACACAAAGGCAGTCGGCAGCGATGAACATCCGCAACAGTGCACAGTTCGCCAACTATGAAGGTGGCAAACCGCTAACCAGCTTGTCCTTCACTTGAAGCTCAACAAGTCAACAGTTTGCGCAGGGAATTCCTTGTAAGTTGCAGGCCCAAGTAGTCTCAGAGTAGTAGCACGCATGGCAGCACGATTAGTACAATGTATGGACCAAGTGGAAGCCAGCCGCTTCAGTAGGAAGTGTTCAACACCTTGCGACCTAGCTGAGCGCTTTTCGTGGCGTTCACGGCTTCATAATTCATTGCTCAGTCGTCTTCATCGAAGTCGCTTCTGAGCATGGCGTTCATGGCGCTGGCATAGGAGGAGCCCGTCTTCTGTCGCTTGGCCTAGCAAAAGAGGGATGTAGGCTAAGCTACTTTACGCGTCAAGTATTCTGCGAAACCAATTCCCATGCCAATGTGTGAGAAGGGCTCGATCTCAGCTGGAGACTGTGACTTCAGGCGTTTATCAGTCCAACCTCCTCACGGCCTCAATCTGTGCCCAGTTGCTTGATAGAAGGTTGTCTACTGGTCACGTTGTAATAAGTCACTAGCCTGACTTGTCGTAACAAATAAAAATACAACCAGAACATGGGTGAAGTCGCACCCCCCTTGCGAGCAATTTCCACATTGAGGTCTTTTTTGAGTACGTCTTCAAACTTCCGTGATTAGTGCCAACTCCATGTTGTGTTTGAGGGTCCAACAACACCAATGGTTTCTCCTCACGTGTTTTCTTCGTTGGTTTCCTTTTCACCAAAGACACCCAGAGCCAACTCAGTGGAGTCCGCAGCAAGGTGGTGCATATGCGACAAGCCCCAGCCTCATCACCCTCCATATTGCCATAGAGGTCCTGAACGGCACGCCGCAGGCAAGAAACTGAAAACCGGTCAAACTAAACTAAGGCCTAAGGCCAACCCAACCCAACCAAAGCCAACCCAACTTACCATACAACCAGCCGACCAGCCAACCAGCAAGCCAACCGATTGTACTTGCCCATGCACGAGTCTGCAAGTCTGCAGATCGCGCGCCTCTTCTGGCAAGGGCTTCTCAGTCCCAGCGGGCCTCAGTCACCCGGTCTGTGAGCGCCAGCTTGGCATGGAGCCATGACTAGACATGCAAAAATGAAACCAATCAGCTAAATGCTTTACAGCTACACCTCAGTTCGTGTTTAAAGAAAACTCAAGTCAAACTCAAGCCGAACCTCCACAGATTCGGGCAATTTCCGGCTTTGCAGTTGAACCCGCAGGTTCCACGGCCTTGGCCCATGGGCCACCAGTTGCCCAAGCCACACGTTGGTCTCAGGTTCTCAACCAAACATTGCACCCTTTCAGGGAGGTGAGGACTGAGGACCTGGACTTGATGCGGGTGGCACCATCAGCCGTTTTAAGATTTGAGAACTGCAATGAGCGGTTTAAGCAACGAGCCAGAGCCAGAGAAAGACAGTCCTGTGGCCCCAGCGCTGTCTTGGACTCTGGTGGCCTGGGCAAGCCCCTTGACAGTGGATCGCATATCCCCGGGATCTTGGCTGATCAAAACTTTGGAGATGGCTCTACGAAATTGCGAACCTATTTCTGGTCGGGTCCAGAAACGCTCATCTAAACCACTGGGCTCTTGGATTCAGCCTAGTGGTACCGGGAGGTAAACGTGTCCATACATTTCCATGTCGTCCGTCTAGGATCCGATTGCCTGCGTCCATCAAAGAGCAGGGGGAGGCAACCCTGCAAAACGGTCAGGGACCTTTGCATCCTCAAGTGACTTCTATGAAAAAGTCCAAGATGGTCCAAGTATGGTCAGGTTGATGCTGAGCTACTTCCTTCTGTTTGGGGGGCTCCGATTGACTTGCTGAGCCACGTTGCAAAAGCACATACGCACCCTTGCATCTAGGATGCCCATCCTAGATACCGCCTGATTGCAACCACTTAGATCTTTCTTAAGACACTAATTTCAAAAGGGAACAACATGGACCTGCCCATCTAAGGTGTTCATTCACACCCCGCATTTAGACTCTAAATTTCTCCAGCCAGCTGAGAGCTCCCGGCACCGCCGCTTGCGCTTGCACGGCTTGCGCCGCTTGCGCCGCTTGCGCCGCTTGCGCCGCTTGCGCCGCTTGCGCGGCAGCGAGCCTTGGCTTCAGCTCCATCGGTGGTTTCTGGCCAAAGTGGAACCAGAGGAATGGCCCAGGAAACTGAGGAAAATTGCTCCCCCCGTCAGGCTCCATGGTTGTGGAGATCTATGGAGTTCGGATTTGCCCCCAGCAAATTTCGCAACGACCAGAAAGGGGACCTCAGCAAAAAAACTCCAAGGGTGAGTCTTTAGGAGGGTGCAGAAACCCTTCCCCGGCCCAATGGGATGCAAGAATGAACAAATCCAATGGGCGACAGTCAAGGCTTCCATCAAACCGGTCGAAGCGAGCGTAAATCGAGCCCCGGGGTGAACGTATTCCCCTGACGACTCAAAGTCCCCAGAATGCACAACAAACTTTGGTGAAGCCATGTTGGCTCATAGAAACTCAAAGCTGTTAAAGGATCCCAGTGTGCGAAGACTTTGATGGTTCTTCCAGGAGCAGTTGGACACTCGTCCACTTGCAAGTTTGTCCATGGATTGAAGGTCACTACAGGCAACTCCCAACATCAGGCCTGGCCTGGGGTCAGCTTGATTCCGTGGCTTTGCGGCTGCTTTCGCCTTCCCGGCGTTTGTCGCTCGGCAAAACCATCAAGTGCAAGCATGGCCACAGGAAGGCTCCGGGGCAACCAATATCAAGGTAGAAAAATCACCAATTTCACACAAACTCTTCTGGGCTGCCCTCAGACCCCCTGCTAAAAGTTTAACTCCTAGTTAAATGGACACCCCCACTAAATGCTAAAAATGCAAAAATGCTAAAAAGATAAGGGCATGGCTGCGAACCACCAAGTCTTGGTATGCGCACTGCCTCTTTCGAACAGCATGCGCCTCCCCAGCCGGCAAGCTCAGCTCCCTGGTCTCAAGTGCATCCTTCGACCGCGACAAAATTGGGCCTTGCTCTCCACAAGGCGGGCGTCTTGCTTGCTTTTTCTGCCAAGAAGAACATCCACCCACAATCTGCAGGGTCAGGAGGGTGGGGAATCCCCCAATTCCGTCTTTACCTAGTCTTCGCGAAACAATACATATAGAACAAAATGTGGATTCCAGCCGTTTCAACACACACACGCGCCCCTCCCAATTCCACTTTTAAGGGCAAGGGGACTCCCAAGTTGGCTTGCTCACGACACGCATAGCACTGGCCACTCCTCTTTTGGCGAGGCAACCCGCGGCACATCGCCTCGCTCGCTTCTGAGTGCCGAGTTCAAGGCACTTAAGTCGTCAGAAGGCGGTAAAGGGTCTGGCCAATTCTTTAAGGATGTAGAAATGACCCCGTTGCCCAGGTTCGGATTGTACATGAGATCGCGCACCGATTACCAGCTAGGATTGGCGATTTTAGTTAGAGCCTTCCACAGTTGTTGATTCCCGCGGTCGCTTCATTCTGGGCTGTGATGTGCGTGCTGCGAACATGGCCTGAGTCCGGCAGCGCCGGCGCTGCCGGCACAGCTGGCACTGCGGCGACCCTGGCGTTCGCTACCTAATTGAGATGGGCTGGGGTCATTTTGAAAGAATGTCAAAAGGAAACCACCCCATGTTGGGGTTGCCTCAGTTTGAGCTTTTCCCCCTGCCATTTTGCAACAATCCCATTCAAAACCACAGCTGCCACGACGCGCAGTTGGATTTGCCCAGTGTCCTCTTGGAAAATAGAACGATGCCCCCGTACAAAAATGCGTCTACACCCATCGGGCCCAGTTGTTTCCATGATCCGCCAAGATGGGAATGCACGATGCACGATTAGATTATCAACCCTTGATTGGCTGACTTGGGAAGATTTGCACCCCAGCACAGGGGCCAGGATGAGCTTGCGCAAAGTGAGCCTATAGTTTTTTGTTTTTTTTTCTCCGATTTGGAAGTCTTCTTTAGCTGAGGTTGGAAGTACATTGGAACACTGTTCAAGGGCTGCCGGAGTGTGAACACCCAATCAACACAAATTCGCTGATGGCTTTTTTCAAATGTGCGAACCTAGGGGAGGTGTCCCTTTGGTTCCCTTAGGCAGCAAACTCAAAGCTGGGTATTCTTAACTCCCGGAAAGAAAATTCGCCATTTCCCATCTTGGGACAGGTGGATTATAATGGGTTTCCTCACAGGGTGTCTCGCCGAAAAAAGGCAGACCCATTTGGCTGTGAATCTTCATAGGGAACCCCCTCCAAAGTGGTTGGTGGACATGAATCCTAAATGATGTCCACCAAAGGCCCGCTAGTTCATATTCTCACCCATTTGGGGGATGGCTGCGAACCACCAAGCCATTGGGCTTGTCTCTGAGCTCAAAGGGGGCCAGTCATGCCGCTGCCTGTGGCTCGCTTCCGGGCGCCGGTCGGCTCTGGCCTTGCGCTCCTCACGATGGCACTCGAGCAAAGGGGCGTGGCCTTTTTGCTTTTTTTCGGAGAAACCTCCGGTTGGTCGTCGTGTGGGGCAACCTCCTGTGGGTTGGGCTTCTAAAGGGCGAACAAAAGGAAACCAACCATTGTCGATTTTAGAGGATTCCCCCGTTTCCCCCTATTCGGAGACAAAACGAGACTACCAGCAGCCACAAAAGACTGTGTCCGATGATCGAAACGCAAAGTACTTTCAAAAAAGCAGTCGTACTGTAAGATAAATGGGGTCACGATCCTACAAAGAAAATTGGCAATTAATGAAGCCCCTCATGCTACAGTCCTGCTGATTGACAGGGGAACCACAAAAACATTGCTTTCGGGGAGTCTCCTCTTAGAGGGGTCTACTCGAAAATGCTGATGCCCCAAGCAAACAGCGGGTTATCAGTAATTTCTGGCAACACTAGCGTCCCATTCCAGCGTTCTTTGCCAACACCTCTGACAATAGGGCCTGCTGCTTTGTCGCGGTGTGGATTCTGCGGAAATGCGCCTCCAAGTGAAACTCTGATGGCACATTCGAGTTCATTGTTCCCGCTCTTTGGCCACCTGGAACTTGAAACCTAATCGTCAAAACTAGCGACCAACCGGAGAAGCCACTCCGTGGGCCCAGCAAAATTGCCCAAAGAAAACTGGGCTGTGGGCACTCAATGGAGCAAAGGTCCCGTCTCCTCCGCCCTTTCACGGAGACGCTTTCTCTCCGCTTTGCGCTCCTGGCATCGGCCGGCACGGGGCATCAGCCCCCCTTTTGGCTCAGACTTAGCGCTGCAAAACGTGACTTGTTGCCGGTTGACTGGAAAAACAAGGGAAAACCCGGAGGCAAAATCTGAGTGTCAACTTCGGACTCATTTGGAGGACTAAATGAAGGTGGTTCCTGATTAATCCGAAGTTGACATTGGAGGTAGACGAAAGAGAACAACCACTTCTAGGGCCCCATCATCGAAAATACACACCCATCTTGATCCGATGTTCATTTATGCTGAAATACAAACCCCGTATGAAACCTTTGTACCCTAATGTTGCCCCTAGTATCAGTTTGATCGGTTGTTTTTCCTCCTCATCGGCTTACAATGCTTTGGGGCTACGAGTTGCTTGTCCACTATACGTTGTTTGCGAGGCACGTCAGCTTAGAAAGCCAAAGACACGGATTTGGCAGGCTGAGTATCGGCTAGGTATCGACTGAGTATCGGTTTGAGTACCGGTTCGGGGCCTGTAGGTTTCCCACTCTGGAACCTCAGTTTAGAAACAATTGCCTCGTATAGCTTCTCAACAACACAGGGTGCAGCTCACAAGGTGCAATTGTCTCTTCTTGGCTTCTGGGGGTATCTGTTTTCTTCCTCAGCATTGGTTTACAATGGTTTGGGGCCTGCAAAACAAGTTAAGGGACAGCCCCTTGCCTACCGAAAAGGTACGGGGTTTGATTTCGACCCATTTGAGCAGTGTTCTAAACCCAGTTGCGGCCGAAGAGAAACATCTAATCCCTTCCGCGAAGGCTTCCGCGGAGCTTGCGCGGCATGAAAGGTTCCTTCCGCAAGAGGCTTGAAGAGGGAATTGCTTCCGCGTCGCTTCCGCGGATTGAGAAATGGAATTGAAGTTGGTTTTCGCTTCCGCGCGTGACAATTTCTTGCTTTCGTGATTGAATCGTAGCCCTTCCGCGAAGCTTCCGCGAGCACATAAATGAGAAACTCCTTCCGCGAACCTTGCGCGGCGCTTCCGCGACCTGGGAAAAGTCAATATTTTGAAAACGATATTTTCTCCCGAATACTACTTTCAAGTGCAGGGGTTTTAGAACGTCGCTCATTTGTCCATCATCGGGACATTCCCGGATGTCTACTTCCAACGCGCGAATCGGTTTCGTCATGCTCCAGTGTGACGGTTCAATGCTCCTACCATTGACTGACATGTGTTTGTTTGCGCGTGTATGTCTGCGCCTCAGAGTCTGTAAGTCTGCGAGTCTGCGTCTGTTGTTTGTTTAAGCGCTTCTTGATTGGATTAGTTGTTTGTGTGCTCGTCACACGGACGCACACATACAGACACAAGCACACAAGCGCGCGCACACACACAAACAAAGAAACAAACAGGCACAAGGACACAAAGAAGCACGCAAACACACAAGCACGCTCACACACACAGACAGGTGCGAACACCCAAACACGGGCGAACACCGGGCAACGTCACACACACCCGCACGCAAAGCTTTTCGTGAATTGGTGCGCTTGTCTGTCTGCCTGTCTGCCAGTCGGTCGGCCTGTCAGTCTGCCTGTCAGACTGTCTGCCAGACAGACTTTGAATACGTGTGTCGTGTATGTCTGCCTGTGTGTTTGTTGGATTGTTTGCTCGCTTGATAGTTTTTGCTTGCTTACTTGTTTGCTTGTTCGCCTACTTCTTTTTGAAGTTGCTTGCTTGCCAGGATTATGTCTTTGTGTGCTTGTGTGTGTGTGTCCGGTTGTTTTCTTTACGTGCGTGTGTGTTTGTATGTTTGCGTGTTGTGTCTGCTTGTTTGATTGACTGGCTGATTCGCTTGGTTGGCTTATTATTTGGTTCGGTTGTGTATCTAGTGTGTCGCTTGTTCGAACATGTTTGTTTGTTCGCTTGCTTCAATTAAATTACTGGTTTGGCTAGCTGATTGCCGGCTTGTTTGATTGTTTGCTTGTTTGTGTGTGTGCTTGCGCGCGCTTGCGGTTCTTTGCTTGCGTGGTTCTTTGTTCGCTCACGTCCCTGTCTCTGTCTCTGTGTCTGTCTCTGGCTGGCTGTTTGTCTGTGTGTTTGTTCCCCAAACAGTTTACTGTTGGGGTTCTTAATTCTTACTAAGAATTGATGCTGTCACAGGATGGTCTGGCCTTGTCTCCCGGCTTGTTTCCTCGGTCAGCTCTTTGTCTCCCCACTTCTTGCCTTTTGTCTCCCCACCTGTTTCCTCACGCGCTTGCGATGGTCTGGCTCAGTCAGCTCTTTGTCTCCCCACTTGTTTCCATTTGTCTCCCCACTTGTTTCCTCACGCGCTTGCTGGGCTGGATGCTGTCACGAGATGGTCTGGCTCGGTCAGCTCTTTGTCTCCCCGCTGGGCTGGATGCTGTCACGAGATGGTCTGGCTCGGTCAGCCCTTAATTCCCCCACTTGTTTGCATTTGTCTCCCCACTTGTTTTCTCACTCGGTTGCTGGGCTGGATGCTGTCACGAAACGGTCTGGCTCGGTCAGCTCTTTGTCTCCCCGCTTGTTTCCCTGTGTCTCCCCACTATTTTGTCTCGCTTGCTTGCTGGGCTGCACGCTGTCACGAGATGGTCTGGCTGGGCTGCATGCTGTCACGAGATGGTCTGGCTCGGTCAGCACTTTACTTGTTTGCATTTGTCTCCCCACTTGTTTCCTCACGCGCTTGCTGGGCTGGATGCTGTCACGAGATGGTCTGGCTCGGTCAGCTATTCGTCTGTGTGTGTGTGTCTGTGTGTGTGTCTGTGTGTGTTTGTGTGTGTGTCTGTGTGTGTGTGTGTCTGTGTGTGTCTGTGTGTGTGTCTGTGTGTGTCTGTGTGTGTCTGCGTGTGTCTGTGTGTGTGTGTGTGTCTGTGTGTGACTGTGTGTGTCTGTGTGTGTGTCTGGGTGTGCGTGTGTCTGTGTGTGTGTCTGTGTGTGTGTCTGTGTGCCTGTGTGTGTGTGTGTGTGTGTGTCTGTGTGCGTGTCTCTGTGTGCGTGTCTCTGTGTGTGTCTCTGTGTGTCTCTCTGTGTGTCTGTGTGTGTGTGTGTGTCTGTGTGTGTGTGTCTGTGTGTGTGTGCGTGTGTGTGTGTGTGCGTGCGTGCGTGCGCGTGCGCGTGCGCGTGCGCGTGCGCGTGGGCGTGGGCGTGGGCGTGGGCGTGGGCGTGGGCGTGGGCGTGGGCGTGGGCGTGGGCGTGGGCGTGGGCGTGGGCGTGGGCGTGGGCGTGGGCGTGGGGGTGGGGGTGGGGGTGGGGGTGGGGGTGGGGGTGGGGGTGGGTGTGGGTGTGGGTGTGGGTGTGGGTGTGGGTGTGGGTGTGGGTGTGGGTGTTTGTGTTTGTGTTTGTGTTTGTGTTTGTGTTTGTGTTTGTGTTTGTGTTTGTGTTTGTGTTTGTGTTTGTGTTTGTGTTTGTGTTTGTGTTTGTGTTTGTGTTTGTGTTTGTGTTTGTGTTTGTGTTTGTGTTTGTGTTTGTGTTTGTGTTTGTGTTTGTGTTTGTGTTTGTGTTTGTGTTTGTGTTTGTGTTTGTGTTTGTGTTTGTGTTTGTGTTGTGTGTTTGTGTTTGTGTTTGTGTTTGTGTTTGTGTTTGTGTTTGTGTTTGTGTTTGTGTTTGTGTTTGTGTTTGTGTTTGTGTTTGTGTTTGTGTTTGTGTTTGTGTTTGTGTTTGTGTTTGTGTTTGTGTTTGTGTTTGTGTTTGTGTTTGTGTTTGTGTTTGTGTTTGTGTTTGTGTTTGTGTTTGTGTTTGTGTTTGTGTTTGTGTTTGTGTTTGTGTTTGTGTTTTGTGTTTGTGTTTGTGTTTGTGTTTGTGTTTGTGTTTGTGTTTGTGTTTGTGTTTGTGTTTGTGTTTGTGTTTGTGTTTGTGTTTGTGTTTGTGTTTGTGTTGTGTTGTGTTGTGTTGTGTTGTGTTGTGTTGTGTTGTGTTGGGTTGGTTTGTGTTGGGTTGCGTTGCGTTGCGTTGCGTTGCGTTGCGTTGCGTTGCGTTTGTGTTGGGTTGCGTTGCGTTGCGTTGCGTTGCGTTGCGTTGCGTTGCGTTGCGTTGTTTGTGGGGTGTGTTTGTGTTTGTGTTTGTGTTTGTTGTTTTGTGTTTGTGTTTGTGTTTGTGTTTGTGTTTGTGTTGTGTTTTGTGTTGTGTTGTGTTGTGATGTGTTGTGTTGTGTTGTGTTGTGTTGGTTGGTTTGTGTGGGTTGCGTTGCTTTGCGTTGCGTTGCGTTGCGTTTGCGTTGCGTTTTTGTTGCGTTGTTTTTGCGTTGGTTGCGTTGCCGTTTG